TAAGTCCCGCCTTTCGGTCCCTGAAGCTGAGGGACTCCGCGCCACAAGATCGCTTTCTGGATTTGGACCAACGCAACACGATCAATCTTGACGAAACGGTGACAGAATCTCGAAGAAAGTCGTGGCAGAACAAGGAAGACTCGCAACGCGCGAACAGAGAGGAGCAGAAGTTACTGAGGACGATCAATTTGGACGAAGTTGCCTGGCACGACACTCACGATAATTGCTGGATAGTTGTGCATGACTTCGTGTACGATTGCACCGAGTTCTTGAAGAACCATCCTGGTGGATCGGACGTTATTTTGGAGTACGCTGGTAGAGATGCAACCTTGGCTTTTATAGGCACTGGACATTCCAGTGTTGCTAAACAAAGCTTGGAGAGATATCTGATCGGAGAACTTCCGCCCGAAGAGAGGATCTTTCGTGTACCAAATGGTGTCAAGATTTCTGGATTTTAATATCGAAGAATATTCGTGCTGCAGTGTTGAAGGACACTCGCTTAAACCGCGATATCGCGTGATCGAGTATTTAAAAATTTGTTTCTCCGAGAATGGTAACAAGTTGTTTATTCGGTTAGCTCAGATTTATGTAACTCAAAGTAGATGCGTAGCGTAAGAAACTTAATGTCCGTCAATTTATACAATAGGATGAAATAGGTTAGATACACTTTTTACTTCACTGCGGATTTCATTCCGTGTCGCTGCCGTCCCTTCGCACGTTACATTCCAGACAGTTTACACACGCTAACATTTCAGTGTTCGCATTTGCTTTGATGTACGCATCTTGTAAATTGAGTGCTAGAGACCGTATACAGAGGTTAGGTGCAAATAATGATATTTAGAGAAGAATCTTCTTTACTAGATCATGGTAATTCTCGTTAACGCCGTAATATCATCCTTGAGTGCTGTCTTCATTATTATTGTATACCGATATAATTTAAGAAGCTAGCATATTAGATGTTCATGTAATTATTATTGGGTCATGCATGGCTCAGTATTACGCTATTTAAGAATCAACGAAAGCGGTCATTCAAGCGACCGCGAAGAAATAAATAAGTTATTTATCATGTGTATTTGGTGATTTCTAACATTACCTACACAACATATTTTACCCAAGTCTTGATCTACCTTGTTGCAAAAATTATTTTAATTTTCTAAGTTAAGTGAACTACACGCGGTTAAAAAATCGATAACAGTATATTCCCATTATGTTATCAGCGACAAACCTTCAGAAATTCAATAATGCCATGCTACTGCATTGTATCATAGCATTAATTAGCGATTAATAGTAACGTCAACAATGCAATTGCAATTTCGATATCAGACGATTACGAGCGTACGCGTGGCGTGTTTGCGCGTGCCCGCGTCATCTGGGACGTGCCCTCGTTTAATCAACAAATGGAATTTCATTGATATCCGTTACGCGTAGAAAATTTCAGCAATCGAGGAGATTAGCTTTAATTATACTCGTGTACCGTTCGATACGGATTGCTGTAGCGAACCAGAAGAAATAGCGTTCGATTGTTGCAAAACTTATCGTACGGTGCAGTTTGCCCGAGGGAAGTCTACAAGAACGTTCGTAGTTTACGGTATGTTTAAAGAAACTCGAGAATGTTGAAACGAAGTTTTCGAGAGCACGGTCTCGGTTGAATCGACGTCTTACATAGGAGGAACTGTCCAGTCTATTGCTAGAGGTGTTTCATTCTTTAATTAGACACCGTGAAATTAGATACGTTCGCTGTGTCTGCGGTCGTAGTCTCAGGTATTTCAGTCACACCTCCGCGGTCATTTTACACGGTTGCATCCGCTTGCTCCTTTGTATTTAACGTCTAATTATGAGTAATCTTTTACTGCGCTTCTACTTCGTAAGATTAACTTACCTTCGTAATTTGCGAAAATATATTTAAAAGGACAGGGATAAAGATTTAAATAATAAGATACATTTGATATTTTTTTACACCGGTACATTATATTTCTTGGTCCTCTAAACATTCATAATATACACAACATACAATACAACATAGCGATTCAGCTTTTAGTTCCTCGTTAATGCGGTACCGACAGAATATTATTAATTAATTTTCTCTGCGTCGCTTGTTCTCCCGTCACTGTTTCGGTTCTCCATTTTGTTTTTTAATTATCTATAATGTGTCATCGTACTCGACGACAGGAGAAATACGTAAACGACACACACGGAAAATTAATAACACGAGATACACACCGTGACTGAGAAAAATATTTCTATGCCGTAGCAACGCATCTACGGAGATACCATCGTTATCTTTTATTTCCTTCGCAACGCTACGTTTTTCGTTTTTATTTTTATTAAACGAGCCTGGCCAACTCGTGTCTTTATTTCAATGGGCTTCTGGACCATTCGTCTTCGGATTATGGGGTTAGGTCGAATTTCACTCAATGGCAAAATTTTCTTCTTTTACTTACTAACTGCAACATTTTTGTCCGCTCGAACGTTCTTTTATTTAGAAAATTAACAAAACCGGAGAAAATATTTGTTTAAATTTGGCTACGGCTGTGCAAGAAGTTATTTACATTGCCCAGAGCGATATAATAACTGCTCCGGAAGTATTCTCGAGTTGCCCAGGCCGGTCGTAGACTTTCTATCGAAACATCGGGATAAACCTCGTATAAGAACGCCATAAGTTTAATGTCTACATTTTAATTTGCACTCGTTTTATCGTCACTTTGATAAATCAATAATTATTTGGTGCCTTCAAACGAAGTTTAACCAAACATCGTTCCACCGTGTCGTTTCCGATTTTTCCGATTCGAGAATCGCGAACGTAAAAGCTAAAATTCCAACGCAAACAATCGATCATAGCCGTTTGCAAACAAATCGTAATCGCGACGATTTCGCATAGCAACATTGACGTTCGCGCTGATAACGTTCCCGCGATGCAACTTTTTGGAAAAATCGTAAACAACGAGTTACGCACGGTGCAAAAACAAGAAGACAAAATATCGCAATTCGCAAAAACCATCCTTCTGTTTTTCAACAGAATGGGCAAATGAGATAACCTTTGTTGACAAACAATATTGATTGCACAAGGTGGATGAAAACAATTCGATTTTTACCGAGACTCCGTAACACCTTTTTCTTTTCTGACGAAAGCAACTTAATTTTATTCTATTTTAATCGAATCCACGAACTGCGTGGCAACGTTTGAAAATAATACGTGCATTAGATACCTAATTGCGGATTAATTAACATTCGAGCGTTTAACTTTTCGAAGTTGGATTCAATTTTTCAAACACGCAAGTTCCCGAGTTTTAATCCGCGCGTAGCGAAACCTACGAATTATTAAAATTGATCGTTCCTTGGCAGTTCTAGGTTCCGTTTCTGTTGCTATCGTTACGGTGGAAATATTCGTTTCATTCTTATTACCATTTTGTCGAATCGACAGATGTGCGTTTAGACATACACGTGACATCTGACATATTACGCGTTAGATGTTCACGAGACGATGACAATCGTTATATACAATAATGAATTACGTTTCACGTATCCTTAACCGTTATCGTAATATCCGCCTCGTACCGTTTCGATCGTTCATGGTTCACAACATGATTTCGTTAAATCTCTCTTCTTTATTTAAATCCGACTATGAATTTTAATATTTAACACTTTTATGGCCACACACTATGCACGTAATTTCACGATTCTTTTTTCTATTTATAATTACAGTATCGTTAACTTTGTATTTCACAATTGAAACGATCATTTTTCATATATGTAATTCGTACATGATATACTAAGTATAATCAGAAATGTAAAAATCGCGACAGCGGCCATTAAAGTGTTCAGGGGCCATTTTACATACACGAACTTTGCGAGAATATATTGTTAGGTAGGTTTTCACGATAAGTGTCTACGATCGAAATTATCCCTGCCTGCAAGGTATCTCATTTCATGAGAATCTCGTTTGATAAAAAATGATATGATAAACGAAAAAGAAGCTTCGTTAAAAAAAAAATGTTTCGAATGCCCTAACTTTTGCTCATACTTTGAACACGTAAAATAGCCCCGATCGAATGTTAACCCTAGAAATTTGCATTCCGTGAGTTGCAATTGACTGAAATCAATATTAAACATAATATTCTTATAATAAATCGATTTAATAATTAAATCGTGCTTTATACTGGTTCATTAAGTGAAATTATAATATAATTTTCGAGGATTCCAGCTCACCGAAAGTGAGAACAGCTTAAAAACAGCATTCGATTATTTACAACAATTGATCCTGAAAGCGGAACGCGTTTCAACGAAGAAGAACAGAGTGTTTGCACTGGAAAATGCAAATAGGGGAACTTTTTCATTTTCTAATTACACTTAGAAATCGGAACGCTGTTCTACGGAGCGTGTGAACGCGCTACGCTCTACGCTTTTAACACGCCATTTTATTATTTTTTTATCTCTTTGCAACACCAACATTTACACTCTACTTACTGTATTTTTTTTATTTCGTTTTTCGTTTTTTCTTTGTCTGTTTGTTCTTAGTGTGTCGTTTAAGACAGCCTAGATTCGTGGGGGTCGAAATCGCCTAGAGCGTGAACCTTACTTAATTACAGTGTCTTCCTATATGGCTCTAATACGATACGTCGAGTGGCTCGATCGTTTCACACGGTTAATTGCTGTAATTACGACGAGAATCATGATTACGGTTATGGGGCTATTAACCCTTTCGCTGCGGTGTCCTCTGTTTCCGGTGGTGTTTCTCCATTGTTCCTTGGAAAACTCGATAATTGTGTCGCTTATTTTTAACATCGTATAACTCGTCTTTCAAAATTAGAATGATTCACACGGTCTCACAAAAATTCTGATTCGATCGTGTCGAAAAAAAGCAACTTTGCCTTTGAAAAAGTAAATTTCGAAATCTTTCAATTAATAAATACAATTGTTGATGTCGGTAAAGTTATTATTATTATACTATTTATTTATTTATCTATAAATATCGTTGTTATAATTGTATATAGTTAGCGACGTTTATTACCGAAACTGTTTCTTCAAATGTATTTATCATGTACGCTCGGTGAAAGGAAAAATGCTTGTACAGGTGTCCAAAGAAGAATAATTGTTAAAAGAAATCGGGAATACATTTAATTGACTTAAATCCTGTAATTTACAAGTCGCAACGAAAGGATCAATTATGCTCGGTTCGCGTAGATGTCTCGATTTCTTAATCGAATCGGTTACCTGGCATTCGTGTCGTGTGCTTTCTGATTAATGAATAAAGTTAACCCTTAATTAACTCGTACAACAAAGCGCCACTTATCTCTACGTCGTGATCATTCTAGTCATTTATCTCCAACAAAAAGTCTTGTAATTAAGTTAGTACTACTATTTTCCTTGGACAACTGGCGTTTGTGAAATTTATTGCTGAATTAACGAGAATACTTTCGTTTATGCGTACCAAAATATTCGCGCGATTTGTGAACGAAATTCACTCTAGAACGGTTGCAAAGTACGAAGAAGAAGTCAACGAGTTAACGTTTTTTACGTTATTGGTTGCTAATATCGCGTTAAATAAATCGAACACATTTGTGAAAGTAACTAGACAATTGGCGTTGCGTAATGGAACAATAAATGAAATGATATTGATGTTGAAATAGAATTGGAAATTACACGTTCGATAACCGATATTTCCTCCGTGTTTTACACTTAATTACACGTATATACAACAGGGCAGTAAAGATCAACGTGTCTGTCGCTATACTCTATAGAAATTTATATGTTCTCTTGTTTACCTTTCTCTTAGACACCCAATTAGTATTCTTATGTCGTGCGACAAGTTACATTCAATTACATCGCTTTCCAATGAGAAAAATAACCTTCTCGCGTTACACATCGAATTCTACGTATCGTTTCAATCTTGAACCAATGAAAATTAGCGAATCGTATTTGAGAAAACTTGAACAATGAAAATCACGTTCGTCGATACAATTATAATGAACACAGTGCCTCGTTTAAATTGATTGCGATAGCGATAGGCAGATCGAGTATAACCCTCGAGGAGTCCAACGGCGTGATTGGCATACACGCTGTGGATTCTGATGAGTTATCGGATTTATGCGGGATTTTCAACATTTTCAAATTTCCAAATTTCCAAATATCGAGTTATGCCAATCGGAGGATACTGGAATTGCGAAATATGGAAATTTCAAGATTCATCGGTTCCTGGAATTATCTCGTTTTCACGGTATTATCGAATTACGAATATGAACTTTAGCGAATTCGAAGACGCAGGAATTTGGAAATTGAAAAGTTTGTAGATTTAGAAACGTAGACATTTGGAAATTAGTAAACTCAAAAGTTTTCCGAACTTGAACATATTTCAAATATGTGGCTTCTAATATCGATACAAAATGAAAATCTCGGCAATGAGAAATCAATCTTTTCGTTCTTCCACGTTTCTTTCTTCGCACCGTGGTTACAAACATTTCGATCGAGAAATTTATAATAACCCCATCGTACGGCAATGTAAATGCCCAGCGCGAAATTATAAGCTCATTAGCATAAATAATTCACTGCAGCCGTACACGAACGTGTGTGTAATTACATCTGCAATGCAAATATTAGACAATAGAATTACCAGTGCTGTTAAATTACACGCTTACGTAGATACGCTATCACGATACAAATTATAAGTATATGTATGTATGTATATACACTGTATATACACACACACACGTGTTCGAAGGTAGAAAAAAGTCGTAAATCTATATAAATTCTAAGCTAAGAGGAACGAAAGCGTTAAGCACCCTTCTAAAATTAGGCCTAAATGCAATCATTTTATTCGCGTCTACGATCCGCTCGAGCAACGTTTGCTCGATTATTTGCTTTAGATTACTCGAATTGAGAACGAACAAAACACACCAATACGTTCTATAGATCATTTGTCGCTAAAAGACGCATCGTTCTCCGTTTGACTCTTTTACATTTAATTAGGCGTAATAGACCTGGACCAGCCAGGGAGGACGAAGGATAACTGATTTTTTCTACAATTTCTCGACGATGTATCGAATTCGATCATAATTAACTTCCTCGTTATTATCGACAATCTTTTCCTCTCCGCAACTTGCCAAACCCGCGTATCTACGAATCAATTTTTATCCGAAAAGTAAGAAAGTATATTACGACTTTTACAAATGTACATATTCGCGCGAGATGTTTCTTTACGACTTGAAAATGTAGAATATGATCGATGTTTCGAATTCGACCGATTTTGCGTATCGTTGTCAATCTACCGCCAACATTTTCGTAATTTACATGCAGTCGCTATCGATCTACGCTAAATGTTACCAGAAATGCTCCATGCTGATGTTTTCGAGGAAGTAAGCGTCCTGTATTTACAACGGAAGTTGATTATGACTCGATCCAATAAGTTCAATCTACCAATGTGTGAACAAACAATGGATTCGTTTCGTTGGAATAAATCCAAGTAGTAAGAATGTAACGAAAAAAGGATAAAAAATTCTTCTCCGGTACGACCGAGATCATTTATTTTATCGCAACGTTTCGAACTTTAGATACTCCATTTTATATTTGCAAGGTATGCGCATTTTTATTACGTAATTAAATAATGCAACCATCTCTCGGTGTTACGTAGTAGTAACGTGTATAACTTCCAGATATAAAATAATATCCGAGGAGGAGCTAAAGAATAAAAGTGTTAGGATAATAATAAATGATTCTAGCCTTCGAGGATTATGTTTCTTTGCACTTTCCCGGCTATACAGTTATAGTTATATATATCTTCTTCGGACATACACTCATTTACGATAAAAAGTAACGTTCGAGCGATAGCACGTTCGCGTGTACAGCTACTCGTTCGATCGACGAAAGATTTGTGCGAACAACGTTTCCTCGACGAACATGCAACGAGTTTCGAACATTTCGAACGTTCGAAGAGACGAAAATGATCGGAGATCCATCGATCGACGATCTCTCGAGATTATTCGCTCGATAAATCGAATCGATTCGCGATAATCGTGTCTGATACGACGAATGGAGAGGAAAAGAAGAGAAAGAAAAAAGTAAGAAAAGTAAGGAGGGTAGTGGATCGATTATGTGAAGTCGATCGAGGATTTGTCGTCGGAACTTTGACTGGCTCCGTTGTATCCCCAACGAAATTCTCTTCGAATGGCTCGCGTAAAGAGAGATTGAGAATACCATTTCCGTTGGATTCTGCCGGAATCCTTCGTCCAATTCGTTCCCGATTCTTTGGCGATCTTACATCAAGTTGCACAGGGTGATGCCATTTTCTAACGCCGAGTGCAAAGCGGTCGTCGTTTCCATGCAAAATGCTACGTCCTCGTACATCGTCGAAATTCTTTGTTGTTGCACGCGACTCTCGCTTTGGGATCTGAAATTCACATTTTCACTCTTCTAATTACTACTTTAACGACAAATCTACTAATTGGCCACTTTGGAATTTTTTCAATTCCGAGGTTTAGGAGTTTTCAGTCTCCGAATTTTCAAACATTTTAGACTCGATACTTTGTAACAAAGTACACGCTCGATAAATTGCTGCTCGTTTGTAAGAAAAATGCTAACTAATTTCCTAGACTTACCTCGGCGGCATTGCCCGTGAACGATGCTGTACTCTAACTTGCTGTTGCTGTTGGTGCTGCTCCCTCGACGTTTGCTGGTTCGAATTGCTACTGTTGTCCCTGAGAATAGCACCTTGATAATGATGATGATGACCAATGGATCTCTCGTTGTTTTGAGAGAGCGACAACTGTGCCAGGTATTCGCGAAGTTCAGGTTGACTCGCCAAAAGATCACGACGCATTTGACCGCTCGGCGTTTGAGGCGTCTGAGGCGTCGTCGAATCCGACCATGGCGGTGGTGGTGTATGAGATCGAGATATCATGGCGTAATTGTGACACAAGTATTCTTCGTAGGTTGGCGGCAAACCAGACTGAAACACCGCGTTGTTTCGCAATCTTTTATTATTGGTCTCCTTGGAATCTCGGAAATTTCATATTTCCACGTTTTTAGACTTCGGTACAAAAGTGGTTTAATACAGCGAATTTTAATTTGCATAAGAATACAGTATACGATTTTCATTCACGTTTAATAATTATATCGCACCCCATTGTCGAAACGTACCATATTTGCGGTACGATACAGCAAAGCTATTAGAGAAATACCATGATAAGATGATAATAAAATTGTTTGTAATTCGCGGACCGTAACAAGCGCTTTAAAGCTTTAAACGATCCAATTCAATGATTAAATGTTACGGACTAATGGGGAGAATCGATTCGTTAATAAGACGCAAACAGTAGGAGGGTACGAAGAGTCTCTTAATTATATTGTTTTGCATAATTGGCAGAAATTGCTAGCGAACGATGGAAATTGTGTCGAACGATGGAAATGCAAAGCCGAAAAAGCTTTGTTTAATCTTCCAGTTAAAAAGGAGAGAGAGATACGATGTTTTTGATTGCGACTCGGTTCTCTGATTGCCCCCGTTTGGAAGAACCTGCGAGAGAGGAGAGTAGAGAAGAGAGAGTTTCGTGGAAAATATTGTTTAATCTCGCTTTGGGGAATTTCATCGCTTTTCTTCCAGGAACAACATGGCGGTGTACTCAAGAGTTCGAGATACGGAAGAGAGAACGCACACGTTTATCGAACACGAACACGGTCGAATTCATTGAAGAACTAATTGGTCTAATTCATTTCGACGAAATCGATTAATGAAAATCGAAGAAAAACCGTCGGGGTTACCGAACTCTCGGGCCAACCGATCGAAAAGCAAGAAATTATCACAACGATTAAACAGTATCGCATTTAATATCAAATTGAAATCGTGAAACGAACTGTTAGACGACAGAAATGTAATTATGGTCTACTTTCGGAACGAATCAATTACCAGCTACTTTGTGCCTGGCACGTTTAATTAAACAGCGCAATTTGTTTATTACCCTGGCCGACCTCGCGAGCTAAATTTTTCTCTTTGATCGTATAATCGTGTAGCGAATCGCTTTTTATCGAATGGGGGCGAGGCAGAATCGTTTTATTCGTCAAAAATTTCCGGCTTTGTACCACGATGTATTATGCACATTGGTGCGTGTATTATACTTGGGATTAATCGTTACCAACCTAGTAAATATGCACCAACTGTGAAAATATTTTCGATAAAGGATAAACGATGGAGATTAGCCGCGACCGTTTCGAACGGAAATCAGCTTTGCTGGAATATCATAGAAATCTCTTTCGAAAACCAATTTCCATCCATTTTTTCGGGATTATGCATATACACTATTTTTTATTTCGTTCTCGCTTCGAATCGGCAATTTTCGAGGAAATCACACGCACGCATACGAACGTTATCTTGTTTGATAAAGGGAACGAAACGGCACGAAAGTTCGCTTAAAAACTGCTCTATTTTCACTTTCTGCGCAAACGCCTTGGAAAAAAATCAAATTAAAACGCTTGTTCCGGCTGGCGAAGACTGAAGTGGGGCCTTTCGCGGCAAACCAACCGTAAAATTCGTTTTCAAGAGCAAAAAGAAACTTTTATTCGACGCTTTCGCGCGGTCTCGTTAAAAATTACGGAGAGAACATCGGGTAGAACCAAGGCGAAAAGTGTCTTGGAGCCTTTTCAGTTCGAGCAACCGGGCCGCGCTTCAAATAGAATCACAGGATAATGTTTTCGAAACTCGATTTCGCTACTTCCCTCGTCTTTGCATCGATGAAAATCGAGGCCAGCCTCTATACCTTCAGAAAATATTATCTTTCGCGGCAGCTACCAGCGGAGAAAAGAGACTTCGAAATTGGAAACGACCAGGCACATCCTTCCAGATACTAATACTTGCGCGTTGATAATGCACTTTTTCGAAACAGCCCACAAACTATGCATCGTCATTAGAATTTGCATGAAACTAGCGTGCAAACTAACTGAAATTCCTTCCCAAAAGTGAATGCAGAAGCAGCTCGTTAAGGGAGTGCAGTGTAACTTTGAAGAACCGACGCTGTATTCGTCGTGAAACCAATTGGAAAGTTGTCGAGTGGAAGAGAACAGAAACCTCCCTGGTGGAATCGAGTCCATAAAACACCGTGGTAAAAAAAGCGGACCTGTGGCAAACTCGAAGCGTCTTGGCGTCGTTACCAGGAGTTTCGAGTGGGTCTGCTTCGGGGGTGGACGGTGTTTTTCGTACAAGGGTGGCCTCGACGTGGCACGAAAATTTATTGGACGTTCGGCGCCGTTCAACACGTACAACCAGTTAGAAACAGAAAATAGATCTCGACTTAAGTAGCGACCCGAAAAGAATTTCACCGTTTTCCTTTTTACAGCGAAACTTTCTTTCCGAAAGTATTGTCCTTGTCCGTAACGACGTAACGATAGTCCACTCTATTATTTCTCCATAATAACAATTTCGGTATTAAAGGAATATCGGTGGTTGAGTTTCGATATCAAATAAATTTCAAATTTTATTCTTTTATTTTCATAATCGGAGATAAATGTTGACGTTCGCAAAACGCGACCCGTGACCTCGTGATTCGTTCGAAAACCTGGATCGATTGCTCGTGAAACGGTAACAGTCGAGAGCATGCGACAAAATTTTAGCAATTAATGGCTCGTTTACCGGGGAAACGAATTTAATAATTGTCGAACTCGAGAACCAGCCTTTCCATCCAAACGGAATTTTCTATGCAAAGTATGATTGTACGAGCAACTCTTTTCGCGTGGTGTTCGTTATTGTCATGGCGTTCGTGATCGATATATTAACGAAGGATTTATTTATGTAACTGGATCTGCCTGTTACCGTTGTTCGTGCTTCCGTGAGAAATCTATTTCCGATGACTGATTAATGTTAATCGCTTACCTGCCACGTTTTCGAGATCGCAACATCGTAGGTGGGCGGTGGCGATACCATAGAAGGAATGGCGTAAACGGGTTGCGATCTACTTTGCGCGTTTAATTGACTATTTCCGGTTTCGTTGGCGCTCGCGTTCGGCGTGTCTGGAATGGTGGCGTACAACGCCTCCGGTATAGCGTTTTCACGAATTGCACCGCCAAGTATGCTCGAACCAGAATCTGAAATAACGAATTGATCATCTTTAATTCTATCTAAGCATATCCGATCGTACACGTGTCCCGAATTTGTCCCCGCGGTCCAACTTCCCGCACAGATATTTTTATAGAAATTTCGAGAAAAAGTTTGGTAGTCGGAAAGCCAAAACGTCGGAGTACCAACCTATATAAGTATAATGCGACTCCGCTCTGTCGGCGCTTCTGGTTCTACTCGAATGATTCAATCGTTTCTCGTGTTTGCTACTCTTAGTGGCCGGCCTCGCTTGTTCCGTCACCGAACTGCTGCTTCCTGTCTCGGAACTTCTATTCTTCGAACGAGCATCGTCTTGTTTCTTGGCCGATCGCCCGTCCGACTTGCTGCCCTTCGACTTTGGTATCCTGATCGGCAGCTTTCGCGGGGTTAGACCACCGTTCCGGGATTTCGGCAGGTCCACGACCACTCCGCACCCGCACACTGGCGCGTTCTCGTTAGGCATCCTGTAAACGATTATAGCAATTCTCTCAATTCCTTGTCCACTTACGAATTATCGGCTAATACACGAGTGATCACGACGAAAAAGAAATTAATATTTAATCTTGATCGATTAATTTGTAAGTTTTTGAAGCGTGCATATAAATTGCGCTTAAAAAAGGAAGGGAAAATCGTAACGAGGGTCCGTTGATCTCCCTACTCCCGTCTGAACGAACAATTTACGTCGATTAATCGACGAAAATAACACAGCCCTGCCTCGAATGCAGTTCTAAATGGATTACCGTGAAATTAGCCGTGTCCGTTAGAGGCGATGGATGAATCGCTCGCGAACGGGCCAGAGTTCAAACTAAACGGCATTTCCCCCCATGGAACGGTAACGTTCGACGAATACCCTGACATCGACACTCTCGATCGGTAATGTCGCACGATAATCCGCTGGAATAACGCGACGCGTTCCATGGAATCGCGTTATCCGGCCCACGAAGCCTACAACCATTAATAAACGTGCCCATAATGGCCCCTAATTCGACTCGCTTCTCTACATTTCCCTACAATCACCCTGTTCCAGCTGCCCATTCTTAACCATTCAACTTTTTCAGCTTGCCTGTCGAAAAAACGAACTTTCTGAGTTACGGGAATATAAGAATCGACTGCTTCCATCTATAAAAATTAGCATGGAATATGAACGAAGGCCACTGAAATGTATTTAAAGAATCTTGAAGGTACCGTATCGTCGAGAATTCGAAACGAGGTAATAAATCGATAATCGTTCAGAAAGGACTGAAGGGTAGACACCATCCGTCTTGTTCGGTTAATTATTCGATTCTCCTCGAAAGACAGGTTCCTCTTCCATCGAGACGAGGTAGCTCGATGTTAAAGTAGTCGCTTTGATCCGAGATTTAAAGGCGTGATTTACCGGAATCCGGGAGCCAGTGGATTTCTTTCGTCCCCTATCTCCTTTGTCAGCGGTACCTCATCGGAACAATAGCTTTGATCCTTTTACAACGCTCCGAGCCTCTTCCCTGTTTCGTTAATTTATCATGGAACGGGTTTTTGGTCCCGTGTCGAAGCGTTATCGTACTTTGCACTACTTCAATACCGATTCTAGGTACATTCTTTTTGTCGCCGTACAGCGTCGAGTTTAGCTTTCGCGATCAAATTTTCAGTCGATTACCTTTCGGATAACTTGAAAATTCGATGAAAAGTGTAAAGACGCGGAAGGCTAGAAAATTAGTGACATACGGCACAGTAGCAGTACACCAGGTTATAACCGAGGAAATATATTTTTAGAAACATGAAAGGCTGGGATCGCGTATACTAAAATTGCTGAATGAAATTTCAAACATTTTTTTCCTTCGGTAGATTCGATTGGTTATCTTTCTCGCGTTAGAAAGCGTTTTGCTCGGAACCCGTGGTATCGAATACGTTGATGGAACAATTGAATTTTCCTATCGTCGATTCCGAAGAGATACGTAGCTTCTTGTATCAGATTTTTCTTCCCCTTCAAAGTTGGCCTGTATTCGTTGTCTCGAGCCTTGTTCTTTAGTCTATTTTCGTGGAGAAATCGACTTAGGCTCCATACTTTTCTTCGTATTATTTCATTTTGCCGATACTTTGGTCATACTTGATTCGCGTATACTTATAATAAGCTTTGTTCGTTTTTTATTTAGACAGAAATAACATCCTTATAATGTTGTCAGAACAATCTGTAGTTTCGGCAAATCCGTTTTAAACGGAGACATCGCGATGTACGAGTCAGTAAATCGAAAAACGTTGCACGACTAATTCGCACGGGCTCCAAACAGAAACAGCGAAACGTGAGATCGATGAAATTAATTTTCCAGCAGGGAACGCGATGCTTCCCGGTGTAATATCGTTCCGTTTCGAAGCAGAGACGCGAGAAATCGCAGTAGGGAAATTAAATTAAACGACCACACAGCGAAATGAGCTTCGGGAAAGCTTGTTCAGCTTGCACGACGAAGTTCGTTGGAAATCGCCGTCATTATTCGTTCCGGCGCACCCATACCCCAGCCGTGGCCAACTTCCGGTCGCGTAAACCACCGCGTCTACCGTGTCCTCGCTATCGACTTTGACCGAGTGACGACGATCCGTCACCTAACCTAACCCATCCTCTACGCTTTTTCACCATTTTGTTTGTCCGTCTGCTACTTCCGCTGGAAAACATCGACCGTGTTGTTTGTGCTCGGGATTAAATCGAATCCCTCGTGTTTGACCATGGGTAGAAGTCGTTTCGGATGAAGAATGCTTCGTTCTTACTCGCTTTTCCGCCAAATTGCTCCATTTTCTTCCTTATTTCTTTTATCCTCTCTACATTCCTCGCATACGTCTACGTTTTTATTCGAACTTGTCGATTTTAACCAACTAACCCTGCCGAGTTCGATGACCTTCAGGTATATCGTCAAGGACTACGAGCAATCTCTTTCTTATACGTATAATAGCATTTTGAGAACGTCGTATAATACCGTGTTTTATTACGCATAACCGTTTTCATTGTATCATTAATGTATTATAGGCAGCTTCGTCTCGTTCTGCGACGTTATCCCAAGTTTTACGATCCAGTAGATTACGATGTTCCACCGTTATGACACAAAAGACAATTAGTAAATGTCAGTGACGACGAAGTACGAGTTCGATCGCGGAATCGAGGAGAGGCTGGGTTATTTCGTTGGCTGAGATTTTGCATAAGTTAATTGGCAACGGGATTATACGCCGGTGTCGAATATATGGAAAGAAAGGGAACAGAGGCGAGGACATCGATGCCGGAGATTTTAAATCGGTCGATCAGGAACGTAAAATGAAATGAAAAAGGGATTATGAAAAGGGCGAATCGATCGTGCTTGCCCGAACGATAGATCGGAAATTGGAACGTGAATATCGAAGAGGAGTTCTTTATTTAGAATAATAAAAAACGCCCTCGATATTCAGCCTCCAAAATGTATTCAGATATAAAGCATCGCGATTGTCCTTGAAAGAGATTAATAATATTATAATGTTCTAAAAACGTGTTTTCAATGTCAGTTAATAACTCGTTATTAAAAATCATGGTTTTATACGTTTTCGAAAGTGTGCCAATAACAACGAGGTAAAAGTTTTGGCCTAGTTTTTTAGGTGAAAAGAATAAATTATAACGGTACGTGGATTAAAGTCGAATCTCTTCATTAAAGAAGATTAATAATCTGCTTCCTAACACGTAATATAACAAGGTGGGAAAATTATTCCAAGGAAAATCGATCGAACCATTCGTTCCACGTCTTCTACCTTATTCTTTTAAATTAAAACTCCCTCATTTTTACCGTTCATCAGGACAGATTTTCGCGATTAATCAAAATCTCGGATAACAAGAAAGGTTAGTCGCATTCGAGGTAGAATAACCATCGTAAGAAGGAACGTTAAAAAGTAACCGAGTGTCTATCGAGGAGCTGATGGAAATTTTGGAAATTTGAAACATCGAAATTACGTAATTTGTCGATCGCTGCTCATATAACTTCCTTGCTATTAACAAAACACGCGTTATCGTCGTCTCGTTATCGATATATGAAAATGCGAATAAAGAAACGAAGTATCGGCTCGTATCGATATCTCTGTGTTTCCCACGCTTTGTTACCTGCTTTTCAGTATGGATTCGGATTACACAGCCGGAAGAATAATTCATCGAAGCTATACGCCATCGGTAATTTGTGAGCCACGATCCAGGTTCGGAAAATTGGGTCGGACGAACACGAGATTCGAGATGTTTTTATTAGGCGATATCGATATATAGATTGATCAAGTGTTAAACAATCAGACCGTTAACATAAAGTGCAGGTGCGGATCGGAATTATTTTTCGCAAAATAGAGTGATCGAGGTGGAAGAGATAATCACGATAGTACTGCGTATACTTGCAATTATTACTCCGATCGACGAAACATTCCGGGCCGCATCGAATACTACATAGCGATTCGTTTTTCATTTTCGTCAGTTTTCGTAATTAATTTATGAAGCATAAAACTATCGATACTCTACGCATTAGGAATAAATGCGATTGAAAGTACACGCATTATTTAGTAGGTAATACGAATTACGATACGTTGGACCGATAACGAGCGGTCGTGATGATTACGCAAACGCGACGCATTCAATTTCGTTCATCAGCGAGGCAGGAGCAATATCGGCGTCGTTCCGACGGAATAAGAAGTTATTACAACTCGTCAGGATATCTCGCTTTATGGAAAACGCGATATGCATCTCGATTACCCGACCGTACTCTAATGAAACTCGAATTAAGTGGATTTCGAAGGGAAACTATATTTCCTACCCGTTTCGCGTCCACCGCCATCTCTGTCGATGATTCGTTGAAAATTCCACGAAAATTTAAGATCTTCGATTTCTCTCCTCTTAAAATTGATACGGATGGAAACAGCCAGTGATTAAATCGCGCAGACACTACAAGAATTTGGGGCTTCGACAATTTCAGGGTATCAGAATCTGGGACTTTGAGAATTTGTGGATGTGGAAAGTCGAGAATTGAGTGGAGAGATCTGGGAATTGTTGTATTTGGAAATTCGAGGAATGGATATTTCGCTGTTTCGAAGTATTTGAAAACCTGGAAGCCTGAAAATTAAAAAATTTCACGTACCGCAACTTTGTGCGAATAACGTGTAACGACGCTTGAAGCGTAAAATCATACTGCGATCCGTTTTAGAGGTACACGTGGATGGAAATGTGATACGACTTTAGTTTAAGGGATCAAGATTAATCTCTAGAGAATCCCGAACTCGCTCCCGGGATTTTCTACGGCAAATCCTGTGGCGCATGACTGAATTAATTATAGCCAAGTAAAGAGAGACGCTTACTATTGATTAAGTCGACAATTATGTTGTCGGGATAAGTTGAATTAACACTGGACGGAATGATCGGGTGAAAAATGTCCTCCTAAACTTAATGATGTGTGCAAATATCGCCAGGCGTTGTAATATCGAACATCTACACATTTACACAGGAATATCGCCACGCGTTGTATCGCCACGCGCGAACGATACACTTTGTCCAACGCTATCGTTGCATCATTCGACCAATAAAGAATTTAGTCTGTCGCTAAAAAGATCATCGCAGTTTGAACTCAACTTCTTGCTCGCTCTCATAAAATATCAGCACACTTTTAGATACAAGGAAGAGAAAATTACCAGATAATTTTTGATCAAGTAAGGTCGACTTTATTTTCAGAAAAGAGAAGTTGTAATATTTTTTTGTTCTCGTAATTAATAACTCGTTGAAACGAGTTGAAGTATTCGCAAGAAACGCAACGCGAAAGTTACTTCGAGTCCGGTTTAAAGTTTGCTCGGCGATAGCTTCGTATCAATTAATTAATCTATCCTAAAGCGCTCTACGATAAAGTTTCGCTACTAAATGTTTCGACCGACTTCGAATTTTCTCTCGCGTACACGCTTCTTAGCTGTGACCAACTATCGTCCAAATGTTCTTTAGAAATTATCGCACGATCGAGGCTAATTTCGCTAATTGGAACTGACGTAATGTTCTTCGTATTTTTCAAACTCGTTAAGATATATTTATTGAGATAATTCAATTTATCGTGTCGAATAAACAACAGTTGTGATTTACAGCCGTTTATAGGGAGATATACGTACGTTTGCTCATAAATTTCAGCGAAGTTTGGAAACTGGGGATTAAGGGATTTGTCCATGTTAGAATATAGGGATTCGATACTTTCGAGTTTCGAGAATGTTGGGATACGCGAATTCTGATGCTTAACAATTTTCGTAATTCAAGATTGTCATAGTTTTCAAATGTTTATGAATGTGAGTGTGAAAAGATTTCTTCGTCCGTGACGTTTTCGTTCGTAGAGGAAGAACATCTTTTAGACTGGCAGTACACGATCGCAAGAATGGTCGACAGTGGTGAGAAATTGCACGATACCTGCAGCTGTGTGTTCGGCACTGTTTGCCGAGGCAACGTAGCACCGTTGACCGAACAGTTATCAAAGAGAAACCCGCGATCGCCGCGATAGAAGAATACCTTCGAAACCGATCGAGAATTCTGCACCGTGCAAACTTCGATTAATCAAACTGCCAGCCAGTGAATGAAACGTGTCTGCTAGATTGTCGGAGGATTAAAACGTTTCAAGCAACATTATTTATTGCGAGCGTTATGAAATTTCGACATTTTTTACGTCGTAAATATCCGAGTAGTAGAAAAGTCACGTAGGAGCTTAAAAAATGTTGCTTTCGTTCGAGTTCTCCTTTCGGAGCTTGTAAAATACATCTTGGAGATTTATTATGCTAGATTACGTGACTTTTACAGCGTAGCGACGTTATGGAATTTTATTTTCTGCATAAAATACGCTTGATCCAGGTGTTTTGATTTACATTTTTGTCCCGTATCTTTTTGCGAAATAAAACATAACAAATTCCGACGAATTTCAACATTTATTTTTCTCTGATTTTTCGCGGGACACAGATATTGGCAATATCAGTATTTTATTATTTTTACGAAAATTGTATGTTTACTAAGCTCGGAGCTCTCTGCCAGATTTCCGAATTGTATGAAAGCTTTAAATTTAATATTAGGGGCGTAAAAACGTAAATAACTGCAGAAGCATTAAAACAATGAAAAGTTAAGAAGTACGTGGAAGATTTAAAATATAAAATGCAAAAGTTCTCGAATCATTCGGTTGATCCTTTAATCCCTTTTCTCCCGCAGAAAAATCCAGAAAACACGAAAACTACCGCGGAACATCTCGACACATTTTATTAACAAGTTTTATTAGGTTAGCAGATCCATCTCGCGCAGTAGCTGGATACATAACTCGGCTAGCAAGCACACAACTGTTCGAGAGAGGGGTGTATAGGTGCTGTTAGAGGACGAGAAAAGGGAGAAACGCACGGTGGAAGGGTGAGGGGCAGGTAAATCCGGGTCACGCCGGGCCAGGAAGCAGTGACACCAAACTCAACCCGGTCACCCTTCGCGAACTGGGTCACCTTTCACCCTTATTCCCTTCCTTTGCCCGCGATTCCTCCTTTCCGATCGTCTCGATCCGGAAGAACATGAAATTCTTCCATCTTCTTCCGCTTCCTGTCTTCGTTACATCAGTATATTAGATTTCTGCTGCTTTCCTTTTATCGCCACTTGTTGTGTGCGCTAGTGTTTCCATTGGTCAGTATCTCCGCGTGTTACAAAGCACGGATCAGCACCGCCTTGTAATTAGTACACCGTGGAACGATATAACCCGTAAGTGGTCAGACGAGTAGAATATGACCGGTGTACGTTAGCGCTTAGAACTTCAGCGATTAAGCTTCGAAAAATTGTGCGGCGTTAAATAGAAACGTCGTTAAAAATGAAACATCGAACGAAGTAAATATTTTTAACCGTTTTACACGGAAAACGAACCGTTTTGTGGTTACACCGACTATTTCTTCTCATAAATCATGCATCGACCGCAATGTTTTCACCATCGAGTATTTGTGCTCGGATAATCCTCGAGTTTCTCATTTATAATGTACGCGTGGGAGGTTTTGTCGATGTTTGAGGGTGAATTTCATAAACGTACGAGGGCAAATACAAATATAGCGCGTATAACAAACGTAAATACAATAAATATAACAAGTAAACGGGACGCGATACGTATTATGTACAGCGGTTTTTTATGGCGGATATTTTGCCCGTTCGTTAGAATGAAATTGCAGAGAGTGTTGCTTTCCATAGAAAAATCTACCAGAGCGATGTTTTTTTTACCAAGTAAATGGAATTTATGACGAGGAAACGGGTCGTTAGCGTAATTAAACGTCCAGTTGTTTTTCTGTTTAAATATGCTTCATTTATTATTCTTTATTTCCATTTTTTATTTTGTTCTCGACACAGAACTGGTATGCACTTGTTTTCCCGTTTAACAGTGACAACTAATGATTCGCTTTATTTCGAGGATTCGATTTCATCCGATTCGATTGAACGCGAATGATTTCGCACGATAAAACTTGGAACCGTTCGATTGTACACGTTTTAATTAAATTCTACGAATATAGACACTAGATATTGCAAAGTCTCCATTAAACGATTCGGTGACTGAAAATCATATCCGATCGATCGATGTCGAAGAAGAATATTTTTCGACCTCGATATTTCGCAACATCTATTCGGAGAAATACGAAATCGTTGGATTTGCCAGCGTTCGATCGTTTCGAGGCGAGAGGAGAGAATTTCACACGCGTGGGTTTCGAGAACGTCCGCTTAAGCTGAAGCTTTTTGCGCCGCGTAAATGGATAAAGATCGAGGACGGCCACGTCGTTTGCGATTCCCTGGAAAATGGAATGCGATCCACAAAGAAACGGGGAGTGGCTGGTGCGGTCGTTGAAAGCACTATCGAGGGAAAATACGAAGGATACAAAGGCTGCTCGTGTTGACCATTGCCTCGATGGGAAAATATCTTTCTCTGGAAGCGATGCTTACTCCATCAAGTAACCGGTGAAATTTCTGATTTTGTTGCCACCGTAACTTAATATCCTTTGATCCACTCCGTGTCTCGTGTTTAACACTTTTTTAACCTGTCTTCATTTTCGCTTTGATACCACGAGTGTCTCTCGCTCAACGTATAAACTTCTATTACGCGACAATCGAGTTTGTCGTTCGTCTTTAACATTGTTTAATCGTCGAAATACAAACGTGTACGAACGTGTGAGAAATCGAAAATATCAGAGAATATTTCTTAACGGTTAATCAAAGGAGATCTCTTCCCAGCGAATAATATTGAATGACGAGGAGAGAAGTTAAAAAATGGTTGCAAGGAAGAAGGATCTGTATGGGTCGGTGCAACGGATCGAGGTCACGTTCTTTTTTCGCGTTCACCTGAAAGGGAGAATTACAGGAGCTTGCAGTTCGTGTCCGTATATAACGAGGCTTCCCGCGAATAGAAAAAAAAAAATGAAATTTCGCAGGACACGTCGTAAAAAAGGTTCTCATTATTCAACACCATCGATCGCAGAAAATTCAAAGCGATAACCAGACTGGAATGAGAAATCGGCATTCGACGAACGATAAAAAATCGTCGATGATCGGTGCAAATTCTTCCTAAAAGAATTTGGTTCAATTTGATCCTTGTCTCACTGTCTCTCGTATAACGCGATACGCCAGGGAGAACATTACCGAGATAATAACGAAAAAAGAAACGAGAGTTTTTCGAAAAGTGGAATTTTGCCAAAGAAGTTTTATCGAGAAGATTCGATTTCAAGGAAATCAGCTGCTTAGCCTTCCGAATTAATAAAACAGAACCTCCCGAAAATTATACCGAGGAAATTTGCCAAAAACCCACTTTGCAAAATAGAATATTCGCCAGAATATTGTTATGACCAGTCTCGAAGCCAGAAACATGTCAGAATGAAAATGACCCACGAGATGAACAAACAACGAATCGAAGAACCTTGAGTTTCGTTCAGTTCTCCGCGTTCTTCGGTCTTCCACCGTAAACTGGAATAATATTTCGTGTACTCCTCCTAACGAAGTTTAACGTCGAAAATACCTCGAAAACGAAGGAAAAGAACGGAAGTGCGAAAAATCGATGCAATACTCGCGCTGTAAACAACCCAACGACGCGATCAATCGGTCAATTTATCGAATTAGAAACTCGATCAGGAATTATTTAGTCCGCATGTGCAACTCCGTTAGAACGGAATCGCGACGAAACGAAATTGCGGTGTGCCGTTGTTTCGAACTATAAACGATGTCCCCGCAACAGTAGCGTAAAAGGTCTCGAACGAAACGGAAACCGAGAAGATTAAATGTTCCGGTCACTCGACGAAGATCGAAAACTTGATCGATCGATTAACAATATTAATTACGCGACGCTCGATTAACGCGCAAGCGGAACAACGAAGTATAAACTCTGTTGCAAATAATTGTCCATGAACAGGTTATTCGGTCATTACGCTCGATCAAATAGAACGTCCGCTCTGAAAGAGCAACAATTTGTGTCTCCGACGCGATACGAAATCGATCGCGGTATCAATTCGTCTCGCCATCGTGCTGGATTCGTGCTAAAACCGTGCCTTCACGATTCTCCCCTAAAGCAGCGGCTTAATTTCGACCGTTTCGTAACGAGCAAACGAGAACTCCGCTCTTTACTTTTCATTTGTAGAGCCGCTTAGGGCGTTCGCCGACAAAGAAGAATAATCCACCGATGGAAAAAGATCTCTGGGGACAGGTGAACGGCCACGATTCGTGCCACTGTCGCGAAGAACCGACGAAATGACGGAATTAACTCCAGCAGGATTAGCGGTTCGTCTCCTCGGGATCAACCGAACCTCGTGATCATTAAGGATTACGCTCGCTGACGGTTTAATACCGGACACCGATATCCGTCGCGTCCGTCCAGCGCCGCGAACAACTTCAGGAAATGAAGCCCGCTCGCCTCGGAAAATCGATTTTATATTTTCCAGAGCGAGCAACGCGCGACCCGACGGCGAGGATTAAGCTGGCGTAGGCGTACAACCCCGATGAAATGCGAGAAAGAGCTTCTAAATATCTCTCCGACCGCTGCTTTACCCGGAAACTGACAATACTGCTGGCGGTTCGTGCTCGGAAAAGTAGTATAGAACCGATACGTGATTGCGTAACATAGGTAGTGTCACGTTGAAATATTATTTGATCGTGGATAATTAAGCATTGCGGTCATTGGAAGATTAAGAAAGTGGTATATCGAGCAAGTACCGTATAACTTCCGAATGATCGAACTATGCTTTAGTGATATAACAAAGCACGAATATACTCGGAGGAGTAGCATCGATTTAAAGGATTCGTTTCGACAATTGAAAGTTCGCGTGACAATGGATAGAGTGTCGTCCACGAACAATAATTCCTTTCAGTTGCAAAATCAAGGAATCGAACCGATTGTAAGGACAGTTTCCAAGGGCGATTGGTTATGCAAGCGCCAGTCAATTATGCTAGCGTCGATGTACAAAGCGCGTTCAGTTTTCCAAGGCTGCCGTTTCTTTGCCCAGTTCGATTACAAGATCGAGCTTAAACGCTGTTCAATATTCATCCGGGCGGTTCGTTTAAAGGAAATCGCTTCCAAGGAGGACATGCATTAATTACAGGCGTTGAAAGAACGCCAAAGAAGTTTCCGATTAGTTTGACTGGACAGCTCAAAGCACTGCCATGCGCGCTGGGGAAATGCAAGAATCATTAATTTAAAAATATGTCGGAAAGACGGTATTCGAAAAACGAAATCGTTATCTATATTCGTTAATCGTCGGGCATCAGTTTCCAGTCGGTTCACCGCATCGTTCAGTTTCTACGCGATTGTTTCGCCACTTTTCGCGGAAAATAAAAATCTGATGACCACTATCCTTGTACCACGATCCCTGGCTTTGATATCGAACTGTCGATACGTCGACGAGTCGATTCGACGATGTAGCTGGATTTTTTGGCCGACGATGGATAAACAACGAAGGAAATGGAAGCGGAAGAAGAACGCGACCTGGATTCGGTAGGACGTAACAAAAACAGAGAGATCGAGGCGTAAAATAGAAGCCTCGTATTTTCATTGCCTTTTTTCGGCTCCGTCTACGTTCGCGGATTAGATTTTTCTCTGTCGACCTTATCGTTGCAAAACTATTCGATTAAATTCCGATCAAGCGAACGTCAGACTCCAGCTCGCGAATCAAATAAAATAATCTTTCATCGAGTTTATCCGTCGACCGCGAAAATCAGCGAAGAATAAAAATTCTTGATGGTCTCGCGCTGCTTTCGCATTCGGTCCACGCCGTAGGTCGATTCTACTTTTCAGGTCAGACACGATCATAATCTCCTTATCGACGGCTTCCGTAACTCTCTGTCCGCATACGTTCGTACCGATTCTGTTGGTCAGATTAGGTCAGATTTATTCCCCTTTCCACGAATTCTACGGATTAGTGTCTGACTTATCGTACTTCGATTCTACTGCCCTGGAAACGCACGGTTGCCATTCAATGCGACCGGCTTATTATTCCGTTACAATTTCTGATCACGCGCGGTCCCCTTTCTGCTCGTTTACAAACTCGTACCACTGTTCTGCTTACTCGACTTTTTTACTCCATTCGACTTCGTCTACGCTTCGTTCGCTGACTAACCATGCTCTTCTTCTACTTGGCCCATGCAATTCTTTTTCTTCTTCTCTTCGGAGTAAATTGAATTCTACTCCCGGTATTATCGTCGATAAGTTATCTTCCTATCGAAGATCTCAGAGAGATTCGTAGCCTCTCCCTTGGCATTTTTCAATACGCGAAATTACGTGTTAATCAAATTGAAAGAAAAATACTCGAAAGATCGATAAATGTTATTAGCATAAGCACAGTAGATAGAGAATCATCGAAACGACCTTATGTCGTATCTATACTAGGTCTGCAGGCGCAATCGATAGGATGAAAAGAAAATTGGATTTTACTTAATAGAGAGCAAGTTAAAAACGCGCTCGTAGGTTGATCCAGTGCGACATTCGACTTTCTCGCTTGATAATTATTAACTTGTTGAAAAGTATCGAATAATGAAGCGGAGAAAGCGTATAATGGTATAACGTTGAAGGAAAGCAACAACAGCGAAGCAATAGCAATATCGAGGCGAACAACGGTGCATCATAATAGAGAAAAGCCAATAACCCTCGTTCTTTCCGAGTGACCTACATTCAAGTCGACCTCGCGGCGTCGATACAACGCACAATCTCGACGAGTACCTACTCAACCGACCGTCGAATGCTTGGCTGCGTTTTTCGAATGCCTTTCATCGTATTATGCCGTCGTTGAAGATTATCATCGATCGACGACTTTTCGCGGAAATGATCCTTTGAGTTTCCATCGCGAACACCGGCGACCGGTTCGCTCATTTTTCTCCGTTTCGCTTCCGGAGAACTCCTCGCGCCGCTTCGGGAAAGCACGCGTCGCGTTCGAGATTCCACTCGGTCGCTCCGTTTCGATGACCGTCGGAATTTGCGGAAGGTGTTTGCCGGCGGACGTTGAATTCTTCATTCTCGCGGATAAGATTTAATATTTCCTTCCGCGTTGATGGGTTACGTCTTCTCTCCGCTACGAATGTATAAATATTCACTGGAGAACTTGGAACTCGTTAGCTTAACTGCTAAGGATTAGTGTTCGCAGTTCAAGTTTCGAGGATCAGTCGGAAACCGAGGTACAATATCTTCGGGATTTCGTGTATTATGAAAGTTCCAACCTTCCGACGAAAATTTAATCCGATAAAACTACCTATGCAACTTTTAATTACAATTAAATATGCTGAAACTGTCTGTGCTAATAGAATTTTCACGTAGAATTTATACATGACAATTGCGCGAGTAGAACTACTCGGTACGTGGTTGGTCTTTGATCAAACTAATGGAATAAGTTGATAGGCATCCAGAGGCAAGTAAAACGTGTCCGCTGACACTGAACACGAATGTCCAAACCACTATCACTGTATAACTGGAATATTTCGACGCGTGTCGAGAACAGTAGGATGCAATTATCAAGATTTTGGGTAAGATACAAGAGCCATCTACCTTCGAACAAGTACTATAATTTCCGCGCGTATTCAGACAATTAGCGCGCTCAAATTAATGACGAGAACGAAACGAAATGTTACAAAATCAACGTCGGCGTAACTTTTAATTGCGGGTAGAATATAATGACCATTGATCAAAGAAGAGGAATCTTGGAAACGACCAAGCCAGTATTATACAGTGGTGGCAGATCAGACAAATATAATATAAATCTATTTATATAAGTCATCATTTGAAACCGTACTTTGATCCGTATCATCCTCGATCAGCCTGTCCCACGAATTTCCTTCCATCCTTCTATTCCTGATCAAAGCGTTAAGAGCCGTCTTTAATTACTAGCCGCGCCTATCAACTCCGCTCCAATCTTCTCTGTTCCTCGCGAACGTTACGCTTCGAACACTCGTTAACTTCATATTTCGTCGTCATCGTTCTCGATATTCAATTGGAAGCCGGTAAAGTCGTGTCCCTCCCGTTAGAGACAGCCACGCTCGAGTCCTCTAACGATCTCTCGTTTTATCCGACGGTCAGCTCGAGGAATAGCCAACTCTCGATACTGTCGTCGTCGACAAAGAAGTCGAGGACCGTAGGGAAACGATTCGCAGCGAGGAAGAAGCAAAGCAGCCGGAACGGTCGCGAGCAGACGATAACGCGACGGGCAAAGAGGCCGACGAGCCGATGCACCGAGCGGAGGAAATGACGAGAGAACGGCGGAAACCAGAAATTCGGTCCGCTGGCAGCGAACCGGGCGCAGGTGGGTGGCTGACGGAAGGTCGACCCGGGGGTTCGAAAACCGGGTCACAACCAGGTCACTGAGCCACCCTTCCATCGAGGCGTCGCCTCGACGACAAATAAAATGGACCGATCGCTGCACGATTAATTATAAATATCGCTCGTCGACTGCCGCGATCCTCGCGATTTGCTGGAATCCAAGAAATCGCGATATTATGCGCTTTATACATAATGCACGAACCAGAAGTTTCCTATACTTTTCAAAAGTACCTATGCATGCTTCTCGCGACGCTTTCAACCACCTACCCGTATAAAGTTACCGGTGAATCGTCGGCTTTATTTTAAATGGGTCGACAACTGATTTTAGGTCATCGATTGATTTTGAACAGGTCACGAGACGATTTCCCATGGATCGCCAGTTAATCTTCAGCCGAGTCGTTAACGGATCCTGTCTGCGTTCTGCCGATTCCGGGTAGAATCGCAGCTGATCTTGGATGATGGTCAGACAAGTAGTATAGGTTCTTTGACTAATTTGACAAGCGGAATCGTGACTATTTTTACAGAAAAACGCATAGTACGAAGCTAATTTATTCTCCGCATTTCGATTCAATTCAACATCCCATTTTTTCCGCTGCACCTTGACGAATGCGCGAGCTCGTGTAAATGGAAATATTTCTCAAAGTCTTTTTTTTCGAGCGGGTGCACACTCGCATCGATTTCCTCCGCGTTTTTAACATACGCTTTTCTCTAAATAGGTACTTCCAACCCTCCCCCACACACTTTTCCATCGTATATAGGTATATACGTTAAAAGGGATGCACCCAAACTCGCTCGCATCTCGTGAAAAGCACAGCCAGTTCGCTTCCTACAACCATCGTGTCTGAATTTCGCTGTAAATAGAAAGCGTTTCTGAAACGTTCCAAATTTCAAAAGTTTCAGCGAGTTACACGCGTGATACGGGAGAACGTACCGAGTCGTTTCTCTCGATCGACCGACGATGCGTTTATTGGCCTGGCTAATAAAGTGTTTTTCTTTCATTATCACGTTGATTCACTTCATCGAGATTCGATGCTTCTCAGCTCTTTAGAATTATTCCTATAATTGTAGCTGCGTTTAAACGTTTCTTTCCTTTTCCGTCCTTTCTTTTGTTTTTGAAGTCGTAGTCCTCGTAATCGATTACCTTGAGAATCATTTCTTTATTACGCTGATTGCTACTGTTTTTAAACGATCGTCATCGAAGGGGTTTCTTCGAAAGTATCGTCTATTTAATATTACACCGTGAATTTTGATCGTGGTTCATTTGAGAACGGAGTTAAACGAAGCTCGGCTGCTTAATCGGTTAATAACAAACATTTCTGAGCGAAAAGTTCGTTAATTCGCGGCGTCGACCAATTCGCGAGTCTCGCAAACTTTGCGAGCTCGTTAAAAGTGCAAGGTCTTACCGCTTTCAAAGAACCCAGGGACGCGAGATATTCGCGAATCCAACGCCGGAGAATAATAAATTACACCGCGAAATCGAAGAAGTTAACGAACGCCATGAAATTAATAATCGAGGATAATTGGCAAAGTAGTCGTGTCGTAATCACAGATATCTACCTGGTTTAATCGTTCTGCGTCAGTCGATTTGCGGTTTCGAATTTCCTAGTTGCTCCATTCGCATCCATGGCGATGAATATCGAAGTACGTTCGTTATCTCGCCTCGATTAAATTAGAGGACACTTTTTTCCTTTTTATCGTCCTGGAAGGCTGTCCCGTTTTTACGTTGCTTTTAATTGATAGGCGAAGGTCTCGAGACGGAGAGGCTTCTTCGAAGAGCAACGTCGTTTCGCTCATTCTTTTTTTTCACAAGAGTACCCTTTCGATGTTCGATTTAGAAAATTCGCAAGTTATCGGTAAATTTACCAGCATTTACGCCACGATCACCATCATTCGAGCGGAAGGGTTAAAATTTAGGTAGGAAAGGTGGGCAGAATTTACCGAAGCATCCCGTAAACAGTTAACCGGAAGAAGGGACAACCGCAAGCTCGGTTAACTGCGCGTTTTCTGCGAAATAACCCTGAATCGAGAATGTCCCACGAAACGGTGCAAGGATAAGTTTAATCGATACCTCGAGCTTCCTCGAATTTTCAATAATTCTTTAATTAATAAACGTCTTGAAACGAAGAGATGGGTTAAAAAGTTGCGTCGTTCCGTGCACGAATAAATGTTGTTGCACAAAGTTACATTTTGTTAAATGTCAAATTGTAAATGGTAACACGAGTGTAATGGAACATAAAGGGTTAACGGAAGATCCATGGTAATCATCGTCCTCAAATCTCTATGGTGTGTTTTCCAACTTTTATACCTGAGATTTATTCAAAAGAAGCCACGTTTCCTCCTCTGTTATTTCCCTCTCTTTTTCGCTGAATGCATGAAACGTGGGGTAATTAGTAGCTACCAACCGAGCCACTTCATACCACGACCTACTTTTCCCTCCCGAAAAGATAAATAAATAAGAGCTTCCCGCCTTCTTCCTCTGCTTCTTTTTTTCGAGTAACTGGGACAAGAAGAGTAATCGATCTATCGACCGGCGGAACATGAAGCAGAATAATGTTATAATAACCAAGCTGGAATTTTTAAGATCGCAAATGTGTCGAGAGAATTTATATTTCGTATAGGAATGCAATTTCTCAGAAATTTAAGACGGGAAACATATTTCATCCTCTATTTTCTGATTCACGGAATATAATTATTTTTCTGCTGCTGCGATATTAAAGTTTCGAATCGAAACTATTATTTTAATCGTCACGATCGTTAGTATGATAAGTTTGAATGATTTCGACTAGAAAACCGTGCAATTTGATCCATCAGGTAGGCTCCCACGGAATAAAATTTAACGCGATATTCTTGAACTGTGTATTTAATAGGGGAATGGATATTTTTTTGCGTGGAAAGCTGTCGAAAGTGGGAAACGCTGTTGGAGTGAAAATCGAGGAACAAACGAACGAAACGGAAGCACGAGAAACGCGAGACACGGACGGCAAAGTAAATGAGCGAGGGAAAGAAAAGGGGCCAGAATAAATAATTAAGCGGCCCCGCTTTAATATTCAGAACAGAATGACGGAGGTGCGGAAGAGCGAAGGCGAGCTCTAAGATATTGTTCACGTAGATGCATTAATTAAAATTCCACCCTTTCATCCGCTACCACCGCCAGCCTAACCACCCTACCTAACGCCACCAAGACAAACTGTGCAGATTTCGAATCGTTCCGACCCATCTACCACCAACTACCGGAACTTCGCCACCAATTCTCTTAAAAGGAATCTCTCTGCTTTACGAGCCTCTCCTCTGTCTTCTTTCGTTCGTCCTCGCTCGTTTCTTCTTGCTTCTAACCTACAATAATTACAATTTACCTTTCGTACGACTACTCTTCGACTCGATATTACTACCTACGTAATAGTTGAAATTTCTTAATAGAGTCAACTATACATTGGATCGAAACTCATCGAGTCAAGCATAGAATTATACGTATATTTCCACGATAGCACATATTAATATCGGCAAAATAATTTCAATAGAAACTCGGAGATCGTAACAAAATGCAACGTATTCCGGAGATATTCCAGTAGATTGAAATCGCGACAAAGGAAGTGTCAAAACGCGAAACACACTCGGTTCGACGTATAAACGTCCCGGAAGAAAATTCCCCGTTACATTTATCGTCGGAGTTTCAGATTCGTTCGCGCGACAACGCAAGGTGTTTCCTCTCTTTGCTTTTCCATCCGGAAAATTGCTATTGACAGGAAATTTTGAATCGTGGTTCGCGTGAGCGAACACCGACGCGTAAGTCATCGCGAGCAACGATCAAACCGAAGCCGGAATTTCTCTCGCGTCTTTCTTCTCCGTTATTTAACCGTGACGGGAACGCGCGAATTAAATCAGTTCATTGAAAATTCATGCCGGATCGAAGTTATTCGGGGCCGAACTCGTCGGCGACGACCACGTCGCGGTTGAAAATTCTTCTTCGAGGATTTTGCTTTCACAAAAAGTAAACGAGAGAAGATTTTAGGATTAACGGAAGGAGTGGCATTCTATGAAAGCCGACAGTTCGATGAAGTTCAAATGGGAATTAATGCATCGGTGTTACGTGGTAATGGCAGGTGACACGATTCTGTCACCGAAGATGAAGCTTAATAGTTGCTCTGTACTCGCCGCGTTTGCGTCACACATCGATACCACGTGTTTGCTTTTATACCTGGATTATTTACAAGCATCCTTTCACCGACCTTCGTCGTTCCATCAAAACTTCTTCGATCGCGCGGTCCGTTATCATTTTCGTAAAACGCGTAAATCAATTCGATTCGACCGTCGATGGACAGCGGAACGAATCAATGGACGAATAGTTAACCAGGGCGAAATCGGATCGGAACTCCCCCGCAACCCGATCAAATTTTCATCGGTCCTAGTCACGTAAGTCGTTTAGAATTTAATTATCAGAACGTTGCTAAGAAAGTTACATCCGTAAGGAAACTGTTCGTCGCGTGGCCTACTTCGATACACGTGTCAAAGTAAATGCGAGCCTTTCGACTGCTTGTCCAATTAGCAAGGCTTTTTAGCCGGCGTTTGATTAAGCAGCAAATTGCTTTCAGGCAAAATTAGGAGGCGAATATTACATAAAAATGATCGTGAGTGGGCCAACCATGTAACAGAACGCTTTTGATCAAGTTTTACAAGGTATATTAGCTTATCGAAAAATCAATTGCAATGCGTAAAAATTGAACACGCATCGGTGTTTAAGAAGACGAAGAATGCCGATAAAAGAGTATATTTCCTCAGTTTCTGCGAAATCCATGAATCGACACGAGACAAAGGCTAAAAATTAATAACCGTGAATCGTTTCCAGCTGAAAGCCGAAGAAATAAACTCTTCTTCGAAACTCTCGATTGACCATTAAAAGAAACCCTCGACGCGGTGCAGCTGCAAGCCTCTGACAAACTTGCAGCTCGAAATTGAAATTGTTCCCGGTTCGATGCCAATTCCCGTTCTCCGAGTTTCTTCAAATTAAAATCGAGCCTAACTACGGCACCGTTCAAAACTATTAGATCTCTTTGTTCGTACAGATGCCCGAACAATTCGCCGCCCTTTTAATCGAGATAAATAAAATTAAAATTAAAATCAATATCGAAGCACTCAGTGTGTTGTGTGCATCATGATTTTTTAAACAATCCTTGTTGCCGATGCTAATGAACTTTGATAATTCGTTTAAAATTTATCGGCTAAATAATATGTTGATCTTCTACTTCGTTTAAACGTCCAAAGCAATCCGTACGATCAAATATGTACTTTGGACGGCGTTGTAACTCCGAAACGAAACGAAAACACACAAAATGGAAGCCAGGGTTGAACGTAGAAATTACTCTTTTCAAGCAATCATCCCTTCAACCTTCCGTTTCTCGTACGAAACGACGAGTTCGTGAAGCAACGTGATTAATTACGATATCGTTTTTTACTGTCGCGGTTCTCCGCCTCGATTGCCACTTTACTTTTTACCCCATGTCCCGAATCGACGACGTTCTTCTACCTTTCGACTCTCTTTCTAATCACTAGGTCGAATTTAATTAGCTAAACGTCCATGTTACTGATTTACCTCGGTGTTTCCCTATTCGTTTCGCGTCCAAATTTCGATGACCATTCACGACGAGTGAAATACTAATTTTTCACAGTTAATGTATAATTGATTATTCGTATTTCTATCAAATTGGCCATACGGAGGTATATTTTCGAATAATGCTTGAAATTCTTCGACACCGTGTAAATTTGCAGCCAATAACGCAACGTTAGAAGCAATCGCGAGTGAGGAACGACTTCGTCGAGCCACTTCAGAAGCTTTTCAACGACGGTTTTCGTCGGAAACAGCGACTGGCTGCTTTCGAAGGACGTCGAGTGGAGGTGGAGGAGGAAGAGAGGCTTCAGAAGCGGGAAATATGTCGTCTGGTTGCGAGAAAAGTTTGTTTCTGACGAGTGAGAGGAACGAGAGATCCGTTCGAGCTCGATGGCAGACTCATTGTTCTCTGTTGGCGAAGTTTATACCTTCGTACCCCCCGTTCCGTCTCTTCCGACCCCCTTCCTCGCTATTGCACGCTACCGAATCGCACGATATTAAATCGGGTTTCGCTTATCCGCCGAGGGAGAATTATATAAAGTGGCGGGAACGCGCTGCAATTTCGAGGATGAGTCAGACGCGTCGTCGCTACCACCGATTCGGCGAAATCGAATTAAAATAAAATCGTGATCTAACAATTATAAATAAATGCGCTTATTTTCGAAAGATGCAAACATCTCTAAACACCTAGAAATAATATTTATCTTGGTCAATTAATTGATCGCAGCCGAATTTTATTATGCAACGACTGCAGTCACTGCCGATTCAAATATCCGAAGACACCGCAGTCTGACCTGTTAATAATTTGACAAAAATTGGTAATCGACACTTCCGTTAAACTATCGCGAACTCTATTGAAATAATACGGCAGGTAAACTGCAACAGAGTTCGTCGACACTGATTAAAATTATCCGAGGGAGCTGTTACAATTGCTACTTGTGCAGATGCAAGAATGAACATACGTAAACAAAAAGTACGAGTAGTAGAGTTTCTTTCGTTGCACTGTCTCGTTAGACGCGAGAGGCTGAAACGACTCCGTTAGTCGAGAGAGTCTCGAAAAGCACATTACTCGTTGGTAAACAGAGAACGGGAGAGAGCGAAAAAAAAAATGAGGAAAAACGATCGTTCCACTGGCACCAGCACGCGGCGGTCACTTGTCAAAGCAAACGAGTTAACTCTTTAAGTGTCTACCTTGCGATCGTAGGAAAACTCTCCGAACCGGAACATGGAACGCGTGCGATCCACTCGCCTCCTCTTTCCTCCTCGTCTCCTCGTGTGGAGGTCTCTGTGTGAACGTGTCCACCCGTTGACGACGAAACGGACGTGTCGAGCTTGCGGTCGCACGTGAACACCACGCCCGAGTGGCGCGACTGAACTCGTCTGAACCGTGTCGGAGCTTGACTCCACCGAGGCATTCGGACCGGCGCTCTTGGACAGCTGGCGGGGGTATTTTTGAACGGGTGGGGTTGATAGAAGGGTTAGACAGAACGGGAGGGGTTGTTCGAGCCACCGGCAGAGGTGGTAACGTGGGAGGAGTTCGAGGGAGAAGGGAGAGAGGTGTGCAACGGTGAGAATGAAACTAGGGGGTGATAGCGTGAACGGACGAAGGGGCGGAAGGGTGCTACGAGAGGAGAAAAATCGGGGAGAATGAAGAAAGCGGGAAGGAGCGTGGAGGAGAACGGTTGCAGCGACGTGGCGGGATTCCGAGTCGGGGGAAGTGAATCGAATTCGTAGAAGTAATGGGAAATTAGGATTTAATTCGTTAGTATGGAACGTTACGTGGTCAGAAAATTGACGCCTGTGGGAAAAGATTAGACTATCAAATTGTGGAAGTACTATGAAACGGTACAGAGCTGTTGAAAAAATATCGTATGGCTGATAGGTGGTCAGACAAGCGGTACGTGTAATCGAGAGGTATGTAATTGGACACGTAGCGACGTATGACTGGAAGGTGGTCAGACAAGTAGTACGAGTCTCGTGGCTGATGACACGAGTAGCACTACAACCAAGTAGCGCTTGTTTGTCGACAGACCAGACAAGTAGTATGAATTTGGTATATTGACACAAGGACCGTGTGTATTCATTAATGTATAAATCAATATCGAATTAATATGGCTTGATTGAAAATTCAGGACCATCGACAACGAAGATTCGAAAGTACTTGGCGACAGTAGACTTCCGGGTAGAGTTAACATCGAGGTGTTTCTTACCGTTCAGACTCGTGTCTACAACCTCGAAGGAACGTAGCCGAACGCTTAAGCGGTTGCTAATTGATTAATGTCTCGCGGTGCTTGGTTCGCGTGAATTTTTAATGAGAACCGAGCCTGAACGAGCCCCGGCCGACTTCAGAGTAGCGCGATCGGCTTTCAAGATGATACTTTCGAGCCTGCTAGACTAGAGCTGGCCAGAGAGAAAAGCGCGAAGGGTACTCCAGTCTCTTTGTCCGCGATGAATGCTCCCTCCTCGAACAGGTAGCTTGTGCTCGCGAGAATTTTCCTTCGATTACACGATGGAGGTTTAACCCTGTATGCATAACCTGACGGTGCATAAACTAGCGCTGCAGCGGTAGCTGATCAGACAAGTTGTACGAAAGTTGTTAGTTCGGACAAGCGATATGTTAGGTAAGTAGACAAGTGGTATGCGGTTGTCAAGAGGTCAGATAAGCAGTACATGTATAACTGGCAGATAATCAGGCAAATAGTATACGCCTATCGGTGGATTATCAAACTGGTATATTACTGTTAAGTGACAGGACAAGCGGTACATAATCGGTACGTGTTTGAACCGGCAATATAGGTACGGTAGATAATGAAACTAGTAGATGCAGGACAAGTTCTCTCGCAAAGATGCTCTTCCCATCGGACAAAATTCCATTAAAACTTTCCGTATTTCTCGAAAGTGCACTCAATATTTTGACCAACATTTTAATTCGATATTTCTACGTTATCCCGTAGCGGTACGGTGCATAGATCCTCGAATTGGATAGAATTATAAAAAAATTAGCTCGCCGACAGAGAAGGTAATCTCCGAAGCAGAGCCTGACTACGCTCCGCGAGCTATCCTCTCGATTACTCTCGGAATTAATGTATAAATTAGGTAGACACGGGTATCGGCTTCGGTCGGGTCTACGTTGCCCTAGATTTCGAGCCTCTCGAATGTCGGCCCATTGACCCTTTGCTCGGCTTTCGGTTCGAAAGGGACGGCAATAAAGTGGGAGAGAGGTTTGGCACGGTAGAAATTCGCGGACCACGCGAAACGACTAAAAGAAAGTACTCGGCCGACGATAAAGCCACGGCCCCGAGATCGATGGGGTCGTATTAATTACAACAGGCCGGAAGAGCACTCGCGGAACACGGCCCTTCCGGCACACTCGAGCGTGCCGCGAGACGAAATTCGCCACGACGGCGGAAAAAATGTTGCTCAGGGAGCCAGCTACTCGTCTCGTTCGAGCACAAAGTCCAAGTGTGTTGTGCCACAAACTGCATCTCGTGTGGATTGTATGCGTGTGCAAAGAGGCTTCCGGTGCTTCCTGTTGCCAGCACCGCGATGGATGTGCCCAACGATGAATATCAACGACACCGGGGTACGTGAGACTTTTGTTGAACAGTTCCGTTCGGGTACATTCTTTCCTTCTATTTCCCGTCGATTCTTTTTTATGAACGAACTTTGATTAACGGCGGTGATCGAGCAATCGTGAACCGTTCGAAAGAGAAATATCTGAACGACAAGAAACTTAAGGTTCGTTTCAAATATCAAATCATTAGTGTGAACCGCGACCCTTTCGAGAATCGACTTGATTCGAAAAAATGGCTAGAAAGACGCGAAGAACATTTCTAAGAAAATATGTATAAGTTTTAAAATGCGATAGCAATTTTATAAAGTAATAAGTCACCTATGTACCGATCTAAAATTCCATCGCGCGGTTGCACGATGATAGATAGCACGGGTTTTACGCAATCCCGGTTCACGCGATCGAAGAAAATTCCAAGAAAACCAGAGTACCGTGGCAGGATAGTTTTCCACCGACAAAAGAAGAGAAGAAAAAAGAGAAGCGGGAACTTGTCGTTGCATTCTTGAGCGCGCTAGAACGTAACACGAGGAACGCTAAGAAGGGTGGAAACGAGAGGGTGAAAGTTCGACGAGGGTAGGGATCGTGACTTCGCGGAGCGTCGACCAGAGGGCGGTGGATTTCCAACAATATGGCCGTCTAACATCGACACCCCGTGCAAGTCTCCACGAAGCTGACCAGCCGGATTTCGAGGTGAAGGACCAGTTCGAACGACCAAATCGACAAGCATCCCTAATTCGTAAGTGAAAACGTACTTTCCACGATTATTTTACCGCGATAATCGTCGACAAGCATTTCTAATGTGCTGGCGAGTGTTTCGAGTCGAACTGCGTGCTTTGTCCGGTTAAGGAAACACACCCCTCTGGCGTGTATCTATACCACTTCTTGAATTAGTGTGCGTTGACATTGGCGATCAATAGAACCAATGGTTTCACCATAGACTCGATTGAACTTTTGATTTAGCATCGATCGATCTTCGTTGTTTGCTCTTCGATTGAAAATTCCAATCGCTATTGACATGGCAGGACGTTCATTTTCTCGCTGCTTGTGTTATCGAACTCTCGTTAGGAAGGATCCGTGCAGAAACTTCTTGTCATTTATATGTCGAACTAAAGTTACAAGTAGTCAGAGAAGTAGCACATATCGCTCGCTGGTCAGACAAATAGTACAAGCCATCTGGCTGGTCAGACAAGTGGTAACTGACTGGTGAAACGTATAGTATAGCATAAAACGTGCAATGCATGCTTGACAAGCAATCAGACCAGTAGTATGCACTTAAATAAGTGGTCAGACAAGTAGTATGTGACTCCCGAGCGATCGGACGAGAAGAATATGGCTAGTCAATGGCAGACAAATGATTTAACAAGCGATGTACGTTCTCCAAGTGATCAGACAAGTAGTACAGACTTATATAGTATATGATCAGACAAATTATTTTAAGCGATTGCACAAATTTTACTCTAAATTCTAATCTTTTGCGTATCTAAAGCTTAATTTTCTTTTTAGTCTTCTTTTTTCTCTAATTATTTACTCAATGTTTTGGTAAATATTTAAATCGCCAAGCAGACTCTTCGATAAGAACTTGTTAATCTTTAAACTCTCGCGAAATACAGCAACCATCCAAGTAGTGTCTAACGTAGAACACGATTAATGGGTTTTCTCGTGTGGAGAAAAAAAAACAGCAGCTCGTTCGATAACAATTTAACGATCCATTATCAGCGAAAGCGAACCTTTTGTTTCCACGATACGTATGAACGTTTCTGTCTGTCAACGAGACCCTCGTTTCGATCGAACAACCCTCTGTTTCCACCCCGTCCCTCGAATTTCTGTAAACGCTTCTGCGTCGTTTATTTTTTTTCTCTTACTGACTCAAGGACAAAGAAAAAAGGGTACGTCCTTTACGGTGTTTCACGTTGTTTTGTTAACACGATTCTCCTCGAAAAGCTGCCACGTTGAAAGGTTTTACTCGCGTCGAGCAAACTTCGAAATATTTTTCTTCGAGAGACGCGTGTATTTTTCGAAATTCATTCGTTCACTGACAAATGGTTTTGTAATCTCATTTTCAGAAAAGGAGACCCTATGTCTTCCAGTGTAAATTTTTTATATTATTTTCTGCCCCTGACACGACGCGCAATACCACCATCTTTCATCCATTATGACGACCAGTCAACGTGAAATTTGTGCGACAAATATTTCTAACCCCATTAAGCCAAGAAGCGACGGTTCGACGGTATTAATTTCGTAGTTAATTAGATGCTACTGTGCGTTCAATTAGCAGCGCTAATCTAATTTCGTACGGTGACCCATTTCGTAGCTTCGAAGCCGGGTTACGTGCACTCCGCCTACACATGACCATTTATTTCGTGAAAAAAAATAGTAATCATTGCAATTTCCAATGTACCAAATTACCAACTATATTCGCTGACTAAATTACCGTAGAGAGTTGAAGCAATTATTAAAACAATATAACAGAAAATTATTTGATAAATTTTAATAAATGGAGCGACGAGAAATGAAAATGGATAGGTCGCGAATTCGGTTACCGATATAAAAAGGTCGATATCCCGTTAATTATTTCGTTCTTTAGTCACGACTTATTCACGTCGACGATATCGATTCGGAGAGAATATCATGAATATAATGAGCGAACGTTAAGCCGATCGATAACGGTGTTGGTTCGATTCGATGCTGGACAAACTACGTTCGACATTTCACGCGATCGTTTGAGGTTCCGCCCGTTCAAAGCGTGATTCCGGATTGCTTTAATCTTCCGATTGGCTGCATGTATCAACAGGTGCGTGAAATTTCGTAAGCTTCTTACAAATTGCTATTGCGATTTTATTGTATCTGAGAGCATCGATGTTGGACAGTTTCAATTTATCTAATACTCCATTCATAAATATATTTTAGACTACCATATTTTGTTTCTACAGAAAAATGACATATACTACTCGTTCATCAATATCAAATCATAGTTAACAATGATTTACCGATTCGAGTCTTTCCGTAAAAGCAAGAAAGGGAGTGGCTCGGTATTCGACGCGGGTAAAAACTTTGTTCGGATGGTTTAGGATTACTCGCCGACGCGAATACGAACCTAGATCGAAGTTTTCGCCAACCTGTGCGTTCGAGTAGTCGTTGCTCCGCTGAAATTCGCCTTTCCGGGCTTCTTCATTACAACTTTCCATCATCGAGATATCGAATATCAACGGCAAACGTATCCCCGATACATTTCGTCGATGGCGACCACATTTTCCGAACACCATCGCACCTATAGCTTCGCGCGTGAAACAGAACCGCGTGACCTAAATCGCTTCACTGGTAATTTCTTCTCCGAATACGTTGTTTTGTTGCGCTGAGATTGCTTTTCCAGTGATCCACCATAATCTGTTTAAGATACAACGCTCTTTCAGATTCGTGGCCACATTTTCTTCCTATCTTGATGACTTCATCCTGTGATTTATAATATTACGTTATTTCTATCGCTTATAATCCCTGTATACTGCAATATTCAAGTAGTACAGAGTATCCGAATGTTGGAACATTCAATTATTTCGAGTATCCAAGTAAAATTTAAAGCCACGAACGAGTCGAAAATAAATGAACTAAAGTCATGTTAAAATTTGCTTAAAAATGAGATTCTGTCACCGAGTGAATCTTTGCAATTTATCTCAGTTCCGCTCCACGAAGAAGCATGCTAAGCCATCAAAATCGATTAACGGAAAAGGAATTATAAAGCAACGAATCTTCTCTTTCCCATGAAATAAAAACAAAGCTAGAATTACCTCTCGAACAGACCGCAAGTAATAACGTCGCAAATTGATCCGTCGCCGGTCGGAACTTTCTAAAGACTTCAGCGAGCTTTCCTATCAACTTTTCTACGAGTTAATCACGTATACCCGCAAACTTTGCTCCCGTGGCAAGCTTTTCACCGAAGACCCAATGATTTTTCTTCGTTCCCCGTCGTATCCCGAAAACGGAGAACGATTGTTCTTCCCGTTACAAGGCTTTCCCACGAAGGTTTTACGTTGCTTGTCGTAAAAGTCGCTCTTAACGCTCAATCCTTCTTTATCGCCCGTTCTAACCTCGCTATTATTCATCAGGACCTTCTGCAACATGACCACGACCATTTCTCGGCAATTCCTCCAATATTTCGTTGACCATTTCTTCTGTAGAGTTCACCGTTGGCTATAGGGGTCGGATCCTGCGTTGATTCGTCAGCTTTTTTTATTACGACCCCATCGTGCGTGCACGAGGAAGAACAGTCGAGAAACGGTAGATAAAGAGTCAGAGGTTGGGATGGTAATTTTTCAGTCGACGAGCTGTGACATTTTTATTTCGGCTTTACTTCGACGATGTTTTCTCGTATATCTTGGATGACGCTTTATTATCTCGAAGGGGTAACAGAATTCGTACGTAATACTTTTAAAGACGAAGCAAACAGTCGAATACATCTTTCGAACGTCAGGTTCACGGTTTCTCCTTTAATCTCGTAGATGATATTTGAATCTGGAATAGTTGGGAATGCGACGCGTATCGGTTAATATACCAGAACTTTTTATTGCACTTTTCATAGAACTCGTAGCATCGTTTTTTCTTTTTTACGCTCTGCTCATTCCATTTGTCACGACCGTTTATTACATTGTCCCTTTGACTGGCCATGTGGCAGAACTAACAAAGTGTCTTGCTGATTCGATAAACTCCAGAAAGAAACAATATCGATACGAAGGTGCATGTCATTGGTACTTTTTTTTCAACTCTTGCAACTCTCTCCGGATACAACGATCGAACGTCGGCCAGTATAATTCACCGATACAAATTATAATTATAAATAAATATCAACTGGCCAGCAGCATTTTTCAGCCAACTCGGGCAAGGTGATCTCGATAAAATTTCTAATACATTCTGTTTCGCCGTAAAACTTTGTATCGCCGCTCGTACGACCTACGATATAAAGTTTCGCATAGTTGAAGTAGTACGAGCCACATGTGGCCAGACACGAGCTCGCCTCGGAGAGGTTAGGACAGTCTGAAAGCGGAGAAAGGAGCACGCGGCTGAGATAAAGATCTGCGAAGGCGGCAAGGGATGCGAGAGGGTATGGAAGAGAACGAAAGGGTGGCGGTAACAGGAGGTGAGGGGGTAAGAACGGAGAAACTAGGACGAAAGGTGCGAGCCCAGAATGACGGTGCACTAGCTGGGGCCACTGACATGAGACCGTCCACTTCTATCGAGGGGTGTACGGCCATTGAATCCGTCGGATTTTCAACCCCACCACCCCCACTCCGACGGCAACCTACTTTGCCACCTACCCTTTCTTCGGTTCGTTCCTCTCGTTCACCGATCGTCTTATTTCGACGACCCGTATCCAACATCCGACGCTCCTACCGATCACTTCGAGCCGTCACCGAGTCCTTACCGTGTCCTCGAATATTCATCGAAAGCGATTCCGTATCGATATTATTACGAAATTCTTTCGTCCGTCTCGCATTATACAGGAGTAGCCGGAAGAGTCTCTAGGTGAATTCCAGAAAATTGACAGGAATATTTATTTTCAAAAATAAAGAATCCAATGGAAATCGAGGGGAAGTCTCGGTGAAATTCACTAGAAGGTTAAAAAGAGCTTGAGGAGAGCTTAACCTAGATATTTCTTCTCCTGCGCTTCCTCTTCCTATAAAGGAAGCCTACGTTGCAGCGGGGTGTACATAACAGAAATGTTTCGAACGCAACCCTTGCAAGTCGGATCGTTCTTGGTCTCGCTTCGATGCGCTCTCCTCTTCTTTGTGCGTTTGTTCGATAAATTCCTTGCCCGAGGGCAATGATTCGCAAAGCGAAAATCGAAATGGCAAGATTCTGATATCGAAAGTAGAAGAGAACCTTGTTACCGAGAAATCGACGCAAAAATTCTAACCAGAGAATTTTTTGCCGCTTTCTTCGATCTCTGACACTCGCATCTTTCCGTTGTTACTTACAGGTTTTTTTCTTCGTGCAAGCGTTTCTTGTTTTCTTTCATGAACGATGTTGTACTACTGGGTCATTTACAAGCAAATAGTTCTGTTGCAGTTGTCGGAAACGATGCACAATTCTACTTTGAATGTCTGTTGAGGAACGGTCATGTTCTACTTGTTCAACGATGCGAGACCTCCCGCTCGTTTGCCCGCGAACGATTATCTTCCGCTTGTCTGAGCTCGAGTAGTCGGATCTACTCGTTAATACACGCTACTTATCGAATCTATTAACAATTTCGTTCTCTTCTCTATTTCTAATAAGCGTTACAATTAATCATTTTTATTCGCATTCTAACGAGAACACCTTTCTTCTCGTTACTTTTATCGCGTTAATATATCCCTGACACATTTTTATTTCCACTAGACTACATTTGCACGTTAATACGTTCATAAATTTCTATTATGTTCTTCTTCCTTTTCCGCTATTACTTTTATCAAATTAATATGTAACATATTTGCGTTACTGCGCGACGCTTGCGCATTAGTATTTCCATAAATTTTTATTATATTTTAACTACTATTTATTATATTTTATGGCGTTGAAACCATAAAGAATTTTCGGTTTTACCAAGGTACCGTATCCACGTTCGCCAGAATTATCACAGTGTCCGATTACGTACGTGCTTATTCTACTTGCTCCGTGTAATCGTACAACAGGGCTAAACGGCAGAACCGTTTCCATTCCATTTATAAGGCGAAAACAGTAAGTGAGTCTCGTGAATCGGGCGAGCAAATAATTTCGTCGGTTTGCAAGCTTTTTCCATTGAAAATGTGTACAATCTACACTCTCCGTCACGTTGCTCGTCCCACGCGCTCCTGCACCAATTCGTTTCGTTTCACCCACGCGAAAGTAATTCTACCTAATTGCACCATCGTTGTCGATCGCGACTAAGCTTTTCGCGTATAACGTCTCTGCGTTTTTTCCTACACGTTCAAGCGATCACACTGATACGCATTGTCTACGACGCGCCTCAAGGTAAAACTTCTCTTCTTTTATTTTTCTGAAACGTTCGAGCGCTGTAAAGAATTTTAGGAGATTTATTTATTTCACATTTCGACCGTTAAATGTTCACGACTCTCTCGATCAATGTAAATGTTATCCAACGATCCTTACTTCGCCGTAAAAATAATTTAGCATAACCAATCGCGCTAAAGGTTGCAATCGTCAGAATGTTAAAACCCAAACGCGTGAGCCGCGTGCATCTGGTGAACATCACGTGATTCGAAGGATGCGGAATCGCGAGTGCCAGTTCCTGCGGGCGTAGCTGAAATCTCCAGAGAAGTCGACGGCTTTAAAGTCAGCCGCAACTGCGCTATCCCGACCGACAAACGGGCAAACTCGGCCACTGGGTCAACGACAGATGCAGCTGGTACACGGGGATGCAACCCTTCCACACCCACTAACCTATCTCTCCCTCCCTCTTTACCCTGTTTGTTTTTCTTGCTTTTATCGTTCGTTGTTGCTTTTTTGCCTCTTTTTCTCTCATTCCGGATACTCGACGCGGTGAATCCGTAGCGTGAACAAGAATTATCTACACGGAGATTCAGTCAGTTTACGCGCGTATCTTTCTGCGTGTTTCGAGGGAGGTGATACGCATGCGGAGCTCTCTTACAGGATCAGATAACAATTATCCTGGTAAAAGATAACGACTGGAAACGACTCGAGGCTGTATCGCGGTTTTATGGAGTTCCGAGAACGACGGAGCTAACGTATAGATTTGTATAGGTTATTATTTGACAATTTACACTGAGTTATGTCCATTTTCCGCAGCAAACGATCGAAAGGAAAGCTAAAACTATTCAAACTGGCGCCGTTCAAGTTTCCCTTCTCGAAAATGTCCAAGTCCCGCAGCAGCGAGGAAAAGGACCGGGACAAAGACAAAGAGAAAGGGTTAGAAAACGATACAGAAAAGGACAAAGAAAGCGACAGCGAGAACGAAGAGGAGAGAAGTCGTCATCACGAGACAAACGAGGAGAAGTCTAAAGGACAAAACGTTCAACTACCTATGAATCAACTGCGATTGACCAACGAAACTGATTCCAATTTAAAGTCGCCGATATACGATTCGAACAGTCTGATAGCGAAGAACGATCCAGCCATACCGAGCTCTCCTCCACCGACTTACGAGCACGTTATCGAACAGGTGAACAAACCTAGCTTCGCGGAGATAAACAACCATTTTTCGATTTATAAATGTCTTTCGTAAATTAATTTTGAAATCGTTATTTAAAAATTTGTCGATCGTGCTTTCAGACGCGACTGGAACACGCAGCCGAGGCGCAGAAGTACGAGAGTGGGAAGAGCCTCGGAAACGACGCGTCTGGCGAAGATAATAGAACAAAAGCACCCAAGATCCTTCACAAGTCGAGCAAAGAGTTGTACAGGGCGGTGGCGAAACAGTGGGGCATCACTTGCAAGATGAGCGACCATTGTAGATGCTTGGATTGTCAGGTAGGTTGTCCTTGCCGAGAAAGAAGCTCGTATTTCGTTATCCAACGGGTTTACGTTCTTTAAATTTAGGTCATTCCCGGCGAACTTTTTCTTTAAATCTCGCGTCTTTTATCCTTCGTGCGGTAATTCGAATATTTAACGAACCTGCTTTATTTCACCTTGTACGCTGATCACTCCGAAAGTTACAGATTTAAGGAACTTGCAAATTTCTATATACGAATACCGTCCGTCGACGTTCAAATAACAAAGAAGGTTCTTTTTCAGAGTCGTTATTTCGACTGCGAATACGACAAAAACGAGCATCAGAAGACTGACGGTGGACTCGGTGCTGGTACGCCGATGTTTATCTCGGAAGTGATGCAAGGTTCCGGTTGCGTGCTCCTCTAAAGCACCGGAACGGCGAGACGGTCTTTGCGAGCGTTTCCGCAAAGAGGTTCAATTGATTGCGCACAAAACCACAGCTCGGTACAAACACATTGTGGTCCTTCGACGCTTTGCGATCAAACGATCGGCCAGCTGGGATCTTCTGAAACACTTCTGAAACTCCTACGACAGAAATATTATAAAGAACTCTTTGTGAATTTTTATTTGGAAAACTAGTTGCTTGTATGTAACCATTCGCGTATTCTCGAGAAAGAACACGATAAAAGTGGATGGTAGTTTGTATTTTTGTCAGATGAACTTGATATTCAAGGTTAGATCTTTAACGTCTGATGGAAGCTGTGCGAACGGTCCAAATATGAATTCAGGAAGGATTGTATTTCTTTTTCTTTGAAATGCCCTGAACATTTCGATCTGTCAATTTTCACTTGGTGGTAGATGATTATTGGCGAACGCTCGACCAATTCGTAGAATTAATATTTAAATGTCATCATTGTTGGACTCTGTCGCCTACACGCTATAGAGGAATCACGTACAACCGCGTGCAACGTGGGTTTCCTTCGGATCACGCCTGAAGATTCGAAAACGGCACGATGGTATCGAACATATTCTCTCTAGGAGGTCATGACTGTCAACGGACATTAACCTAAAGAAGCCTATGCTGCACTCGCCTGTACACGTATATTTCGTCTCCCCAGATCGACATCAAATTCTGTTAGATTAATTAACTGAATTAGCTGGATCAATTTGCGCGACAAAGTCGCCGTACACGGAGTGTTTTTGAATCTTTTACAGCTTTTCAGTCGATCTAGACGACCATTCGGATACCTCGTCTGGGGAATAAATGAAAAACTTCAAGTTAGACTTAATATTAGCTACGTTATAACGCAGTGTGTACAAGTAATCTGGAAATGTAACTACCTTTTTGCTCCGTTAGATCATTTTTTCTGAGCCTCTTGTTCGAGAAACGACATTTATATTTAAATACTTTTTGACTATCACACTCTTTACACTGTCTCAATATTTACAAAAATTCAAATCAATTTCTTACATATCTGTCTTACTGTAATCGACAGCCATTTTGTACTATGAATACTAACAGAAAACGGACGTGTTCAGTTATTTTCCTTGAGCTTTAAACTTCGACAACGACGGGCTGGCCTAGTTTATTCGATACTTGCACCGTTTACATTTTGATAGGAGGAATGCGCATGCATTAATGTACACGCAGTAACGATGTACATTGTTACTATAAACATTAAACTGTACCTACATTATGTAGAAGAGATCGTTTCTCGAGCAAGAAGATGAGATACCGTACGACAGAGGCACCTAGATATTATACGTGTAATTTAACGATCGTAAACTCCATCGATTTCGAAGGAAATCGAGACTCGAAACACATGAAAGTATTATAGTATCGAGCGTCGAGCGATAACGAAAGAAGTAGCAAAAGATGCGATCGTATCGTCCACGATCGAAGATCGGGAATCGATCGAGTCAATCTGAAACATAATACAGTACCTGCCTACATATATGTATGTACATTTGTCTCTTCGAGATACAATACTTGTTACCGAAGATACTCAAGGTTCTTTTGTACCTCGCGGCAAGAACACGAGAGACACGTCACGATCGCGAACGGAGGAGTCCAGGAAGATTTTTGCAATGCCAAATATGTTTTTTCTATCGACGGGATGCCGTCTTCTTTTTTACGAACCGTGCGCGATTCTATCTTCTTACGACGCGAAACGGTTGTTTGAAACGTCGAGAAACTTTTCGCTATTCCTTCGCTACGATCACATTTCGAGTCCTAAAGTTACAAATATTTCAGATTCTAATGTTAAGAAAAAATAAGGAGGATTTCTCGTCGAGGCAAACAAGCGATCGCGCTAATTACACGATTTTCACGATCATTTTCACGCATATACGTTTCACTCGTTTCATTTCACGATTAATCAAAATCTTTATAAAGGTTACGTATGTGTGTGCGCAGAAGCGAACTGAAAAGGTGTCATGGAAAGATGAAAATGAAAAAATAAAATGAAAACGCGAGATGTATAGTATTTTTCGCACCGCGGACTTGTCATTAACGTTGTCGTCGGACCCACAAACGATACAAATTATAAAGATTATTATTATTATTCTCTGTAATGTGTAATATATAACTTGTAATACTCGTAATATATTGTAATAATCGTATCGAAACATTTATATTATTACGTAACTATGTGATGATTGTATATTGGAACGGCGAAATGTAGAACGATGTATTTAATTGCTCGAGCGAATTTTCTGTGCGTTAAGTCAAATATATTTTAATGTCGCACGATAATCCGACGATGAAATTAATCCAGCCGTATCTTGACACCTCTAAGATCATCAGAGATTTTAACGACTTAACGCTGATACAACCAACACGAACTTTGGAATTTCTGTATTTTTGAACAGCGTTAAAACGAAAGAGAAGACCGTAAAACTGCAATTAGACCTGTTATAAAGAAAAGTGTGTAAACATTGTCTTTCGTCGTTGTTGCAAATCATCAATTGCCTCGCAACGAGACCATATACGTACCGTCGTAGGACACAGATTCTAGGATAAGCTGCAGTTTCGAAACATGACACACACACAAACACACACACACACACACACGATTGAAGAAATTTGCTTTTTCGTTTTGGACACGTGCGATCTCGCAGCCTGAGCAGCGCGTGTATGTATGTCATTTATTCCGCGTATGTGTACGTTGTATAGACAGCAAAAGGAACGATCGTCCTGCAAACGACAAGTTCCATAGAGAACGTTGACTGTAAAACTCGATGTATTCTGGTAAGTTCGCACCAATAAAAACAAGATGGCCTAAACTATTATTGTCCGTTTGATTCTTTACACTATTTTACATGTTTAAGTTTTTCATGTCCGTTATCGAAAAGATCTTTTCCTGCGCCTGTTCGTATGCAACCGGTTCCACTTGCATGACGTTGCTTATGCTCGTAATCAGGAGCTGGTAGATAATTTTCTAGAGATAAAAGAAGCGATTACGTAGAGTCAGATAACGTAGCTATTCTCGTGTCTTAAATTGCGATAAAAATGAAAATTGCACCAATTTTAAAATTATAATAAACGAACGAGGAAATAATCATTGAGTTTCTGATATTTAATCCGTCCGGTGTTTGGAGCAAATATGTTGTAATCGAAAACAAGGTTATTAGATAACTTTATTGCGGTTCTGGTTTTACGATACGAAGCCACGAATATATGCAACCAGTTTGCTCGAGCAGCGTGAACGCTGATTGATCGTACCATTTAAAGCCGTAACCTTGCTCCTTTCCAGCAATTTGTACCGTTGCATCTGACGTTAGCTCGCGGTAATAATTCTCTGTGCGTTCTTTTGTGCCACGATTCGATCGCGGTCGATGTAAACGTCGGCCAACAGAAGATCCGTTGCGCAACAACGTTTGCGCGATCTACACTTTCAGCAGAATATTCTCATTCAAATCAACTATTCTCGATCCATATTTTCGATCATGAATCGATACATACGTGACTCAGCATTAGATTTCCGTTCATTAAAATTTCTACCGTCTATAACTTTTCATAGCGCTTCACGAAACAAAATAGGAGTCGAGATGGCTATGCACAAATATTTAATGCGTTAATTATTAAAAATCGAATCGAATTCCAAGGACGATAATTCTCCGAGGAGATGGTGAATCTAACAGGTGGTCGTGACGATTTCGCGCCGCTCAATTCGACGCGCCATTATCACTCGCGTCCTTGGTGTAAATTTCTGCAAAACCTGCATTCCGGTTTTTTCCCGGATGATAAATAAACGAACACCGTTTTGTTGTCCGTTACAAGTCCGGGTTCTGGGCGATGACGACACGCTACGACGATTATGCGCGCGTGTGCGAAACATATGTCACACGTGTGCTCTTTGATCCGTTTTTTACCAGCTACGTTACGCTCTTTTACATTCTTTAAAAATATTATCTGTAGGTAATTATTCTAGATCGAGAAGGGAAAGTAATATTGCACCGATTGACAAGGTTTCGGCGTTTTAAATTCAATTACTTTACAATTTGATTATTTAGGATACTCGAAGTCAAGTATTAGGATATTTAAAATTAAGGAACGCGATGTTTGATATTTTCGTAACTTTTAGCCTTACTCGATTAGCCAATTAGCCCCCTTCGTCTGGTCTCATTAATCAAAGCAACTTAACGCATCCTCTCTCATTAAACTTACTCGTCCTCTCTCTCTTTCTCTCTCTGCCTCTCTCTCTGTCGTTCATTATTTCTCCATCCTTGTCCAGTGAACGCGCACCGTACACACAGTCGTTCCCTCTCTTCTCGACATTCTCTCCCTGAGCGTTCGTCCATCCGCTCGTCTCCTCTCGAAGCCAGTCAGCTCGGTATCGCATTATGCTACGGTCACAACGCTGGCTGGTGCATCCTACTCGTGACTGCAACCTCGACCATTCTATACCTGGGATCGGTACAACGTGACCCAGCAACCTTTTGGCATGGTCGTTCGCTGGAAAAATGGGAAAGTCCGCCAGCAAATTGAAACCACGAAGGAGCCAGAGTCAGTGTCGCATCTTTCCCTCCCTTTTTTCATTCATCTACGTTTTACACGTTTTCCGTCTTTCGTGAATTACGTTTCGCTCGGATTCTTTCACGATAATCTTACGATAAATGTATGGCGAAGTTTTATGATTTTTGCGTGGGTCGAAGTGTACAGTGGTGAATGCGGACACGCGACACGATCGACGAATGATACGTTCGATGAAAGGTGAAAGGTGAGTAATGAGCCGCAATGATTCAGGGAACACGTGCTGCTGGCTGCAACATTTACCACAGGCGTTCACGAGTGAAATTACCGGAGTACGATGGTTCGTGGTGGTTCGAACGATTTCTTCTTGTTTCCTTCTCTGTCAATTGGAACATCGAAAAAATCTGTGATTTCGAGGATTCGCGTGACGCGATGTAATTAACGAATCGTTTAATCGATGCGTAATCCGATCGATCGATACCATCATACAGCCAAGGAACATTTGTTCATACATCATATAAAGTGACGTGTTATCGATGGTGCAACGTGGTGATTCTGAGAAGATAAGTTAAAAATATCAAATAACATCCTGTTTTTTGATCGGTTAAACGCTTTAACCGGTCGATTCCGTGCCAAAGTATCCAAAAAATGCGGAGCGATCAAAGTACCGTATTTAAGTCTCTCTAAAATTGGAGACAGAATTTTTTTTACATTTCTTGGGAATCCTGCGTTTCGAAACATTCGGTCGTCGAAAGTTTCGTTCTTGTATACCTGTGTCTAAATTCTCGGTAACATAGTGAACCGTGTATATATGAAATTGGGATTCCAGTCACGAGGAAAGCGTGCATATAATTATGTAGCGAGAGAGGAAGCGCACGTGAATAAAAGATCCCCCTTTTTTCTAACAATATACATACTTCCACCTTTTGATGCCGGCGATTATCGTACTTCTTTTAGGGAACACGTCAACGTGTTCGAGTGTTTCTATAAAAATATTGTGCAGTTCCTTTTCAATAATTTTCTTCGATAAAAATGACAATGAAATTCCTTTTCTAATCGAAATGTAATGGAACAGTATTTACACGTTTTGGTACTGTTATTCAGATATATTCTTTGTAGCGTATTTTATGATATAGTTAAAATTCAGAGCATTCGAAAGAGGACAAAAGAGATCAGCGTTGAAAAATTGTTCGCGTATCTGGGTCATGTAACGAGAAACATCTTATTTGCATCCTCCTACTGCATGAAATTCTATGCTCGCGGTTCGCAACGTTGATGAAAAATTGATGAAGCTGCAACAGGTGATTCCGCTCTTCCTACTACTGTCTCCGTCGATCTGTTTAATTACTCGTCGATTAATACGATTTTATTATTACATAATTACAAGTTCATTCAAACGAATCGAAGCGAATAAAGATTTAATTTGAGCCTGCTGCTATTTTATAATGCGCAACGATGCGACAGCGAATATACATATTTATTTACGTATTAATGAACCAATATAGCATCGTGATCGATAAATAAACAAATTATTTCTAATTACATCTATAAATCCTAACGGAAAGCGAAGAAATAAGAGAGAAATTGGCCAACATCGATGTGTTAGCAGCGATTAATGCATACATAAATATCGTATCGGAAAATAAATTTTTCTCGAACGTAGATTACAACCGTAATCGAGTTAAATGTCAGGAGGAAATATTGTGGCAGCGGAGGAACATTTAATTCGTGGTGAAAAACGAGGTCTGTAGCGGCTGTTTGGCTCGATAGTAGCTCACGAAACGTTGCATAGTTATCTCGGTAAACGTCGCGCTTATCAGTGTCGCCAGGTATTACGTGGAGCGAACGAGCGACGCAAAACACACCTGCATTCCAACGTTCGCTTTTTCGAACAAGCTCGAGACAAAGACAGACTATGTTCTCTTTCTTCCGTCTACAAGGGTCCTCGTTGTCCTGTCAAGACCTCTCTTCTCGCCACGAGTGTCCTTTCCTTTCTTCTCGACTGGGCGCATCGACGACCCTCGAAATTAGTTACAGAGAAACTTTGGAAAAGGGCAACCCGATACCGAAGGTATTCTAGAGAGCAGATTTCCAAGAAAATATGTCAACGTTCGTTAGACCGATGCACTTTCCTGCCTCTGCTAATTTCGAAATTTTCAAACCTAGGGCTCCCGGTATTTCAGAAGTTTCCTGCGCGGAAATTTACGTGTTTATGAATATAGGAAGGTGACGCGAAAAAATCCATACGCGAGACGGACTTGATCAGGTTCGAAGCGTAGAAAAGTCAGCTCGCATGTTCGAGCGAAAAATCGTAAAGTTTCAGTGGGGAACGAGTGCCGGTGTTCGCCAGTGGAAAGGATCGAGAACAGGTTTATATCCGCGCGTGTGAACGAAGCGAAAGCGAGCTCAGTTTCTGATCGGCTATTCCGAAGATCCGCGCGTGATCCGCACGAAACTGCCGCGAATCCACCGAAATAAGGAACACTTTTCGACTCTGCGATAGCGTATAAGATAACTGTTAAACGGTCGTCCAGATCGTACGATTGAGATAATTGGAAAATTGTGAGAGGTACCAGGAGAGGCTAGTTCGGAGCGTGGGTCGTTCGCGCTGCACCTGTGGTCGCGAAAGCGTGAATGAAGCTGTGATTCCAGTTCAAATTCCATCGAATCACGATACGTTAAGTAACATTTCGGTTTTCGATCTAGAAAAACATTTTTGATCGCGTAAATCTAAAAGTTCTTGACTTTTAGTACATTTTTAATCGAATCGCTGTTATGTACGAGTGACCAGTGATACGTGATAAGTGATTTCTTAGCGCAGCGTGTAAATGGAAGGCATATTCTTTGAATATCTTACCGCTCTGAGTTACCAAAAGATCTGACAAGGTACTTGCAAGTAGTCAGATTGCTTCCGAAGGATTAAAATGGCCGAAGCGATGAAGCAGCTTCGACAAGAAGAATCTTTCGCCCCTATCAGGACCACGTAGCGAGCAGAATCTGGTCAGCAAAAGCGAAACGCGATCGGAACGTGTCAGCACGAGCGTTTCGTCGAAGCGAATGCGTCAAGCGGAGTGGCCGATAAAAGGCATTCGCTGCATCGTTCGCGGACAAGATTAAATGAAATAAAAGCGTATAAAAGAGAAGTGTACGATACGAAGGGCCGATGGTATTCGTGCTCGCGATAACTGCTATTGGCCGACGCGATTGCAAACGCTTTCGATCGGATAGTCCGAATCGCGAGTCGCACGCGCGAACAAATTACTCGCTTGAAAATTGTACGTACGTATCTATGTAATCGACGAACGGTCTCGTGACGCAATCGGCACGATTCAGCGCGCTGATTGAGATGATCGTGAGCGACAAGGATCGCGCGCAGAAAAGTACCGGCATGCGTGAGTATGCTGACAAGGATGAACATTACAATTAATCGTGCCGAATGTATTTTATGAAACACGATTCGGCTTCGATAACGTTCGACGCGATTCAAATAATCGATGACAGTTCCAGCTGTCCCCATATCATATAGACTCCACATTTTAATTTACGACTACGCTATATCTACTCGTTCAACTGTATCCCACTCGCTCGTTTCGCGATCTTTTTACAATTCTTAATTCACGATCGTAAATGTGAACTGCTGTACACGCAAATCATAAAAATCGCCTAGTTGATCAATTCCGTTCAATTTAAGGCATCTACGAAGGTTGATTCGTACGATTAGCGATTAAAAGCAGAAGTCAATCGATTTGGCTCTCTGATATATTTCAAGCGATATACTTAGATCGAGTCCGAACATTCACGAAAGATAATTTGATGGCTATAATAAGGTGGTAACTGATGCGATAATATTCCACAGGCATAGCATGGAGCTTCCGGTTTCCATCTATGGGCACCCTGCAAAATCTAGGCGCCAGTGGTCGTCGTCGGAAGAAGAACGGCATATCCTCTTCGGCATCTTGTAAGGATCTCTGTCAGAAACGACACACGGTCCACCTACAGCCGGAAGTTATTATTCAGAAGGAACCCTCTCTACTCGTTACCCCTCCATCACCGGATCAATCCAGCGAGGAAATTAGAAGGTAACTTACCCCTGTGCCGATTGCAGGTTTTATTTTATAGAATTATTATTTAATAACGAATTAAAAATACTTGCATGGTATTGTCGTACGCGAGCGAAGTCTACTTCTAATCGTAATCGATTCTATGGCAGTAAATCATGAAAATGTAGGACCTAGGATCTCGTACCCAAAACCCGAAGGCTTGAACTAATAGACCCTCGAGTAAAATACAACATAGTAAAACCCTTAAAAAGAATCCTGGCAGGACTTTTTCTAAGGAGCGTAGCCGAGGTTCTTACGTTGTAACTTATGAATTAGCCTGCTGCAGGATATACCGAGGTGTATAGTACCGGTTACGAGAACATAATGGAGCCGGCAGGTCCTGAACCGGTTTTCCTCGATCTTTGCCTTCTCCCGTGACGTTCTCCCGCGGCCAACTAGCCGGGGAATCCCATAACGGAAGGACAGGACAATGAGGGAAACTGTAAACGTTCCCTTCTAAACATCTAGCTGTTTCGTAATCCCTTTGAAAATCTCGACCGATGTTCCTCTCGACCCTTTCTTCGTATCGGCACTTGTCCGAGCGTCTACCGCTGCGATCAAAGTGACTATCCAAATCCCGAATCAATCTGAATCGTTCCAGACAAGTCGTCTATGCACTCCTCAGAAAAAATAATACTCTCAATTTCAAAATCTCTAGAATTCCCGAAATAATTCGCCAAAGATGGAATCTCTTCAACGACCTTGAAAGGCCAAAGTCGTTAATCTGAAACGGACCATAACCTACCGCGTTCGCTATCAATTTTCCGGCCTCTTCCTATATTTAGCCTACAACCAGTCACCGTTGCAAATTGCAGTTCGTCGTACGAATGACGAAAACGATTTTCAGCCATTGCTTTATAAATAGATAACGAGGGTGGTCGAAACTCGCGAACGATTCGTAGAACTTTCTGACGCGTTTTATCTTACGGAGCGTATCGAGTAAAATAATTCCTCAGGCATACGATTATAATAGATTAGAACCGGGGAGTGGTTTAAGATTAACAAATTTGAAGTCATTTTGGCGACAAGGTTATTGAAACGGGGGACCTTGATTCTTATCAGAAAGCGATACAGCTTGTAGAACAGTATCAGATAATCGATATTAGAATCGTGGAGGAGATAACGAACATTTGTCGAACAACTAACTCGACAAATTTCAGAAGCAACCACCGAACGAATTACGGGAGTACAATTTACGGTCTCGCTATTTCAAGTTCTGAACTATACTCGTTTAACGTTAATCGTTTGGAAATATGTTCTTCCCTTGATCCTGACTATTCGAAACTGTAATAACGACGCAACATTTCTAAAGTTTTCTCATTCAGGATCGAATTATTATTCGTGTCATGGATATGCCCGCCATAAGACTCTATCATAACGTAGACTGCGACTCTACTTTCAACTTTATTCAACTTTATCGATCATTCGTGGCTACCCCACACGTTATCGCCCTCCTCCCGCATTCTTATATCATCATCGAACAATGCCGGCTCTTTTCTTCGCCGAATGTAAACAAAACGACCGCCACAGATGCGTTTCCATGCGTTCCGGCCGCTTATCGAACGCCCTGTTCAACGCAGGCGCGCCACCACCCTCTCTGCAACCCCCCACTTCTCGAACAGATCAATAACCCCCGATGTTATCGACTAGACCTCCACGGAACCCACTAAACTTTCAATCTTGGAAAACTGTAGCGAAGAACGATTCGAAAATCGAAAGAACATCCTGTGTCGTCGACTCGATGCCGAAGAGCACTCGTGAACCGACCAGACGCAGGCGTCGATCACGGAAAACGACTGGACGAGATGGATCTGTTGCAGTGACGTACTCTTTTGTAGTTTCTACACAATATTTTTCTTTTGGAAACAGCATCGTTAATAGAAGGAAGAATTATGATCGAAGTCACGTTGGTACTGGGGGTGGCAATTTAAAATGACATTTTAAAAACGTTTGCAACCAAAGAAGATATATTACCAGCGTAACAGTTGTTCAGTATTTAACAAATTTTCACGAGCACATACAAATAGAAATAAAAATGCGGGTATCTGAATTACAAATATTTAGAGTTGATCTGTCTATACGATCCGTTGGAAAATAGCAAACGTGTAAATTTATTTGATTTTAAGATAATGGTACCACGAAAAAGACTGAGCGAAAGCATACAGCTATAAAGACACTATGTTGCATACATTTAATGTTTTCCTTGGACTAAACACAGAAGTCGTCGTCCCTTTCTTCGAGTTCTATTAATAGTCGGTGGGGTGCCCCTCGATGGTCCTCCAAAAATACGGTCCTGTCCTCGCTTCGTGGCTTTCCACGCACATAGTTCAGTGGGGTGCGCGCGCTCGGCCCGTGAGCCGTGTGGCCAAACCCTATCTGTCCACGCTACTTATTTTCCTATTCGAACACATTCTATTTCCACGATTTCGCAAAGTCCGATATAAAACGGCTTGAAATTCGAAACGAAAGTGCGAAGGGTGATACGGTGGTCAAGATGTAAGGGATTCGCGTTAAAAGTTTGTTACTTTCGTTAGATTGTCGGAGGCGAAAACCGACGAGACGGAAGAGGAAGAGGTGGTGGACAGAAGGGAGGACCTGGACTCCTGTTTGGGCGAACCCGTTGCCAAAAGGGTTGACGACAACGACTACTCGAATCTACCCATGGTGAGTGAAGCTTTCATTAACCCTTTGCGATCTTTTCAATTTTCGGGAAGTTTCGTAAACTCTTGCGAGTAATAAGAACGAGCAAAGTACAATCGGTAACTTTCTTATTTAGTTTCTGTTTAAAGAGAAAAGTTGATTTTTGTCGAACATCCAACCAATTTTAATCAGATTAGGCACACGTTTGACCCATTTTTGTTTGAACATATTAATATCGCGATCGAGTCTTGAGTGAAACATGATACCAACTCGTTGCAAGAGGCTGATAATTGACTCGTTTATATTAGCGACTTGATAATTCAGCTTTCACACGTGACACTCGAAGTCACTTAATGGATCAAGTATATACTCAAGGCTGTTCTTGTTAAGCCAATCTTGTGGTCTCGCTGCGTCCAGACGTTTCTTAGTTAATTGACGCGACTGTCTCGCGCGAGAAATCTTATACTATAATTGTAAACGCTCTTTTGAAGATAGTCATACATTTCAATTAATAAAAAAACGAAACTAATAACTGACCAATCTATCACTAGAACATCGCTAAACAACAGACAATTTACTTCGCTTAAGGAGTGTTTAATTGAGCAATTTTTCGCGAAAGTTTTATTTTTCATTTTAATTCAGGATCCGCCAGAGGAGTCGACACGCAAGCTTCTGGAGCGGGAACTTCGACTTCTGGATCCTAGAGATCTTCGATCTCACGCCTGGTATCATGGCAGTACTCTTCGTGGCGGTAGGAAAGGCGCTGAAGCGGAAGTGCCGAACGACGGTGACTTCTTGGTCCGCGACTGTGCTTCGCAACCCGGTAACTATGTGCTCACGGTCCGATGGAAGGGTCAGCCCCTTCATTTCGTCATAAACAGGGTAAATATCTTGGAAAAATGTTAACAAACAGACATGTTAAGACGTGAACTAATGATTCTTAATTAACAGGTAGTGATCCAACCAGAAACCGTGTACGAGAGAGCGCAGTACCAGTTCGAGGACGAAGCGTTCGACACGGTCGCGGACCTGATAACCTTCTACGTGGGTAGCGGAAGACCCATAAGCCAAGCTAGCGGTGCTCGTATAATCACCCCGAAACCAAGATCTGTTCCCTTAACCTGCGTGCCAGCTGCCCCCAACAACCAGCACTGTTCCAGTCCTTCCTCCTCGTCCCTATCAACCGGATCCCCCCCTCGTCTACCTCGAAAACAGCAGCGAAGTCACTCGCTGACGGCCCAACATCACCCCTCGGACCAACACGATGCTCGTTCAGCGTCGAACCAACAGACCCCAGCTCCCCACGTGCCGGTCCAGTCGAGCACCCTGCCACGCGTCCCTCCGATCCAGAACCAACCACCTTCGTGTTCCCTGTCCCTGGGTCGTCAGAAAATCACCAGGGTGACATCAGACCCGGCGCTTCAACAACAGCAACAGCCGGTACTTCAGCAACCTAGTCTGAATCATCAAAACTCCCATGGAACAGCTCCGCCGAAACCGCCGAGGGTGCCGTACGTCCTCAACCATCAACATCATCCGCATCATCACCACCATCATCACCATCACCATCATCAGGGTTACCAAGCGTCAGGCAGCGACAGTGGGAACGGATCAGGGGACAGTGAGTTCGAGACGAACAACTCCGGAGGCACCAGCAACCCGTCCTCCTCGGTAGCCATCAAGGGTGTCGTGATTAGAAGCCATTACAATACCAGCAACGATGGTACCAACGGAAACAACGGGAACGAGTACGAATTATCGGCCGAGGAACAATTAGTCGTGGCCGCGCCGTCGCTGGAGATTACCACTGCCCTGGACATCGAAGGGTTCACCACGTTGTTGCTACCAGCAGGGGAGCACAGACCTCTGGATCCGACTGCTCTCAGAGGAGTGTCAGGGATGCTGCACGATTCTGCTCCCAGAGTGCTAGCCTCGCACTTGACCAAGATCGACCTTGAGATAGCTCTTCAGCCTGGTCCAGGAAACCGAAACGGTCTCAGCGGAATAGAGTTAGCTACTTTACCTCATGGTAGACAAGCCAGAATAGATCTGATCGAACGATCCGAGTGCTTAAAGCTTCTCGTAGCTGTGACCGTGCTGGCCGGAGCCACTGCCATCGAGAGAGCTGCCACCATCAGCAAGTGGATCAAGGTTGCCATCGACACCAAGACTGCCCTGGGCAATCTGTACGGCTTCTGCGGAGTGATGCTCGGTTTGTGTCTGCCTCAGATCCAAAGGTTGGCTAACACGTGGCACCTGTTGAGGCAGAAGCACACGGACGAGGCCTTCAGCTTCGAGGCCAAGCTCAGACCCACCCTCCGGGCAATGAACGAGTGCACCAACCCTCAGGCACCCAATACGACACTGCCACACCTGCTGCCTATCGCTTTGCTCGGTGAACGAGGTCCCGAGGACATTTTGGGTACGTTAAATGTTTCTTTGTAACAGCGATTCTTTACGAAACGAACCAACAATGTAGAATTATTAATCGTTTCAGGAACCGTAACTCCATCGGGTTTGGCAGCAGCGATCCTGTCCCCGTGGGAAAACCAACAGACCCCAGCTCCCCACGTGCCGGTCCAGTCGAGCACCCTGCCACGCGTCCCTCCGATCCAGAACCAACCACCTTCGTGTTCCCTGTCCCTGGGTCGTCAGAAAATCACCAGGGTGACATCAGACCCGGCGCTTCAACAACAGCAACAGCCGGTACTTCAGCAACCTAGTCTGAATCATCAAAACTCCCATGGAACAGCTCCGCCGAAACCGCCGAGGGTGCCGTACGTCCTCAACCATCAACATCATCCGCATCATCACCACCATCATCACCATCACCATCATCAGGGTTACCAAGCGTCAGGCAGCGACAGTGGGAACGGATCAGGGGACAGTGAGTTCGAGACGAACAACTCCGGAGGCACCAGCAACCCGTCCTCCTCGGTAGCCATCAAGGGTGTCGTGATTAGAAGCCATTACAATACCAGCAACGATGGTACCAACGGAAACAACGGGAACGAGTACGAATTATCGGCCGAGGAACAATTAGTCGTGGCCGCGCCGTCGCTGGAGATTACCACTGCCCTGGACATCGAAGGGTTCACCACGTTGTTGCTACCAGCAGGGGAGCACAGACCTCTGGATCCGACTGCTCTCAGAGGAGTGTCAGGGATGCTGCACGATTCTGCTCCCAGAGTGCTAGCCTCGCACTTGACCAAGATCGACCTTGAGATAGCTCTTCAGCCTGGTCCAGGAAACCGAAACGGTCTCAGCGGAATAGAGTTAGCTACTTTACCTCATGGTAGACAAGCCAGAATAGATCTGATCGAACGATCCGAGTGCTTAAAGCTTCTCGTAGCTGTGACCGTGCTGGCCGGAGCCACTGCCATCGAGAGAGCTGCCACCATCAGCAAGTGGATCAAGGTTGCCATCGACACCAAGACTGCCCTGGGCAATCTGTACGGCTTCTGCGGAGTGATGCTCGGTTTGTGTCTGCCTCAGATCCAAAGGTTGGCTAACACGTGGCACCTGTTGAGGCAGAAGCACACGGACGAGGCCTTCAGCTTCGAGGCCAAGCTCAGACCCACCCTCCGGGCAATGAACGAGTGCACCAACCCTCAGGCACCCAATACGACACTGCCACACCTGCTGCCTATCGCTTTGCTCGGTGAACGAGGTCCCGAGGACATTTTGGGTACGTTAAATGTTTCTTTGTAACAGCGATTCTTTACGAAACGAACCAACAATGTAGAATTATTAATCGTTTCAGGAACCGTAACTCCATCGGGTTTGGCAGCAGCGATCCTGTCCCCGTGGGAAAACTCAGCGCCAGATTGTGGTTTATCCATAGTGTGGTCGCACTTGGAATCTGCTCGCAAGATGGCAGAGAACCTGCCACTGTTTCGTAGGAACGCGGAGATCGTGCTGGAAGGTTCAAGAAGCGACGAATTATTGTCTGACGCGTTTCGAACGGAATTTCACATAAAATTCCTATGGGGCAGTCGCGGTGCCACCGTGGCTCCCGAAGAGAGGCACTTGAAGTTTACCCAGGTGTTAGACGCCATGTTCGATAAATGCTCGACGAGCGAAGTAGCGGCCTAAACGCGATCAACGGATGGATTGCTTTGGAACTTTGTTTTCTTTCCAGAAATAAAAAATATATTCTCCTGTGACGAGAATGGGAGAGAACGTGGGACCCGAACATTTATTTTTCACTTATTTTTACGTGCTCGTGTAAATTATAATTATGTAATTATGTAATTAAGTGACTGTAATTATATTGTAATTTCTTAGGATGTTTTAGTTGAGATAAGATTCAATTGTGATGAATGCGTTTTGCGTGTGTTCGAAGTTTGGGCAAAGGATCGAAAGCCTTTTCGCTCATGATGCTTTCTCTTGCAATAAAGTCGTAGCTCGTAAGTGAAACGTGATTCTTCTATCGCTGTGCTTTATCGGAGAAGAAGAAACGGTAATGAATGCAACAACGAAATAATATACATATGCGATAATTGAATCACGTTTGTCGCTGAGAAACAATCAAAAGCATAGAGATAACATATTCAAACCCAGAATAAGAGTGGAGAGAACGTTGCTTATATAAAATGTCTAATACAACAAGGTTGGGTTTGAAATTGTTAACAGAAACGAAGTAACTGTGGAAAGATGTAATCGCAGATAATAACAATGAAACGTGTCGTATTTAACAAACAATTCCTGAAAACATTAATGATCCTTTCGTCGTTAATAATGACAATATGATAATCAAATCGAGTTGATCTGTCATGTACTTAATCTTTAATCGATTCAAATATTCGGCCGATAATACGTTGTAAATGTTGTTCACGTTTGTTCACATTTAATATACGAAGAAAGAAAATCTATAACGTGTTTTATTTATTGCACCCATATACTTTACTATAATTTAATTATTGAGAAGACAATACCACAGTAAGATTTTCTAAAAATATATTTTTTATATTTTTGTATGTATGTACATATCTGAATAGAGATTTTATGGACCAAAAGTGCTTAACCATCTTACGATAAAAGGTAGGAATAAATGGAGCAAAATTTTGCATTTCTCGACAGTTCAAACTTAACAGTACATTTAAAATGACCTAAAATTAAATAAGGCTGTATTCTGAAGTGTATTATCAATTTGCAAGATGAAAAAATCAATATTCGATACATTGGTCTGAAAACGGTAGGTATACGGCAGAAAGTACTACTAGCGCCATCCAGCGGTAGGAACCAGGAACTATTTTTCAAGTAACAGGAGCGCAGAAAAGTAAAGGAGGTATGCGGAGTAAGAGGTATCCCGCGCAAACAAGTGCGCATGCGCAGTAGCGTCGCGTCACTCTGTATATACGGTAATTATATCTGCAAGAAACGTTGATTACTCATTTTCTGAACACAATTTATGAACTTTTATGATCGAAGAATGTTCAGTGATTCCGTAGCTACTTTCTCATACCCTATTTGTTCAGATTTGTGTTGACAGTAATTAGTTATTAATGAATATCCCTTCGGATGTCGGCGCATCATTTAGTACACGTGGGCTGATGTAAAATAATTAACAACACGTTATCTGAATATAATTTCTCGACTTTTATGATTAAAGAATGATCAGTAGATCACTAGCTACTTTCTCATATCTCATTTGTTCAGATTTGTACTGATAGTAATTAGTTATTAACGAACATTCCATCGCGTGTCGGCATGTAATTGAGTACACATGAGCTAATTAAAAATAATTAATTGCATGTTTTCCAAACATAATTTACGTATTTTCATGATTATATAATAATCTGTGATCTCGTAGCTATTTTTTCATATCATATTTGTTCACATATTTATTGGAATTAATTAATCATTAATATTTCATTGCAAGTAGTGTAGTCATATGGTATTCTATTGAGTACGTATGTAGAATAAACAGGCTAAAACAGGAAAATTTCGGTCGGTACGGTATAGCGGTGGGATACCAGAATCTACTTTTAGTATCAGGATCACAGAAAAGTAGAGGAGGTATGCAGAGTAAGAGGTATCCCGCGCAAACCAGCGCGCATGCGGAGTAACAGGTATCCCGAGCATCTGTGCGCATGCGCAGTAGCGTCGCGTCACTCGATATATACGATAATACGTGCATACAAAAAATGTTAATTACTCATTTTCCAGAAACAATTTATGAACTTTTATGATTGAAGAACGATCTATGATTCACTGGCTACTTTCCCATATCATATTTGTTCAAGTTTCTTGCGGAATTAATTAGTTATTAATGATTTTTGTACCGCAAGTCGGCGTGTCATGCGGTATACAGGAGCAGATTTAAATCATTAATTACACATTTTCTAAGCACAATTTATGCACATTTATGATATAGGAAAATAGCTAAGGAATCACTGATCATTATTCAATCATAAAAGTTCATAAATAGTGTTCGGGTAATGAGTAATTAATTATTTTGTGTCTGCATTGCGATACGTACATGAGCCACGTATGTCAATTCTACTGCGCATGCAAAGTGCAATATTTCGGCACTTTGACGACGCAGTATGGTTCCTGAGGCATTTAGAAACAAATTTCTATTAGGCTTTGATGCGTTTTGATGCCTAATAAAGCCAGAAAATCAATTTTTGTCGAATTCGGTCGAAAACGGTACAGGTGGCGCCATCTAGCGGCGAGCGGCGGAACTACGAAAAACTAAAATCTCGATTTTCTCGAAAACTAGGGACTTTTCCGAAATTCTGAGATATACAAATTGTTCCTTATCGCCTACGGAATCGAATGAGTACTTTCATAGCCCTCTAGCACCCTTATTAAAGAAATTAGAAAAATAGCCCATTTCATGGACCAAAAAATTGCCGTCCATCTAGCGGTGAAAGTTGGAACTACAAAAATAGAAAATCTCGATTTTCTCGAAAACTAGGAACTTTTCCGAAATTCTGAGATATACAAATTGTTCCTTGTGGCCTAAGGAATCGAACGAATATAATTATAACCTGGTAGGACCGTTATTAAAGAAAATAGAAAAATAGCTCATTTCATGGACTAAAAAATTGGCGTCCATCTAGCGGTGAAAGTTGGAACTAATCGAAAAAAGTCCATGAATTACACTTTTTTTCTAATTTCGTTATTAGTAATGCTAGCTTGTTATAATGGTATTCTATCGATTCCTTAGGCCACAAGGAACAATTTGTATATCT